CATTTTCGTTGATGTTGCTTAGATGATGTAACCATTCAGGCCTCGCATTAAAAGGTGTTGCGAACTCTTCGGTTGTTCTAGCTAATTGTGCTAAAAAGCGGTTGGATGGAAAGTATGACAACTACAGCATACAAGGGACGATTGAGGTCTTTATCCTGCGTTCTATGTATCGAAACATCGGTATCCTTGGTGTTATATTGCGATCAGCTGGTCGCCGATCGTCCTGTTCGAAACATCGGTATCCTTGGTGTTATAATGCGATCAGCTGGTCGCCGATCGTCCTGTTTTTACGCATAATGTAAACAAGCCCCGGAAGCGCCAATCTCATTTCAATGTGCTTGTGCACCCCTACAAGCCTCATTGTGGATCTTGTGCAAAGCCTTCGGTCATTCGAGTTGTATGTGCCACGGTGATATCTGCTGTGTGTGATCTACTGATAAACAAGTCTGTATTAAATGCGAGAAGGAGAACGAAGGTAAAGTTTTTTAACTGTTTTCTTTTTACAGAACAGGGCAAAGCTTTTAAAACAAGAGCAACCCAAGCCGATATTTGAGTGTGCTCAAGAATGAATGGCAAAAGGTGCTTATGCTAAGTGGTAGATGTACGCAGTTGATTTTCTGTTTGCCTCTGCATTGTAAATTGGAAGATATGTATCAGCAGAAGACACGTGTTCTTTTGAAAATGTCTTCTATCAGGGTAAAAATAGGTTTTCATACACAACTGAAGAGTTTCTCAACACCATTTAATGCGAGGCCTGAACGTTTACATCATCTAAGCAACGTCGACAAAAATGTTTGTGGCCACAGACCGATAAATTGAGGTTATAGATAAGTATGCGCCATAGTTTCAGCCTCAAACACGCAACATTGTTGATATGTACCTTTCTTGATGACAACTGCACCAACGTGAGAGTGCCCACGTCGTCGAACACTTGCACACATATGTTGACTACGGTATGGCAAGATTTCTTGCTTGAAGTGAAGATCATCTCGCTACGGCTAGCCACAACCACCCACCGCAGCGATGCATAGGCGTCGGAGGGGCGCAACGCAGTCAGTCGCCGTCACCCGACGCTGCTCGTTTGGCATTCACGGCTTTCCGCCCAGGTGCTTCGTTTGTACTTGGCACCGAGTGTTATTTTCTGTGCTTGTGTGCTCAGTGGCTGGATATAAGCCCCAAGAGCAGTTCTTCAGGCTCAATGGCGTTCGCCGAAGAACTTCTGAAAAAAATGCCACCCAGGAAAAAGAGCACAAAGACGCAATGCACCAGCTTGGCGGACTATGCACTGGGCGCGGAAATCGGGCCCTGCGGATTATACACCAAATGCAAACTATCCAAAGAAAACAAAAACATTTTTAGGCTCAAATTTGCTTCTGCGGACTATACGCATGGACACTGGTGCCTGTTATTATGCATTGTATATTCACTGCTGTTTCTTGTGGCTTGAGACTGCCTTCCTGTAATGATCCAGAGGGGTCCACTGAACCTTGAAATAAAGATATTTAAGCACATCTAGATGCAATGTCCCTTGAAGCCAGATGGTCAGGGAAAAGGTGTGCCATTACCTAATTTGCCAACAGCACACCAATGGTCACAATTAAAACTCACCGAGTCAATGGGCACTTCTCCACCACAATATTTATCGCCGTGTAATCACCAATTTGATCCATCAAAAATCTTGAGGCTGTAGCCTATAGCACATCCATTCTGGATCTGCAAAGCTTATGCTGTAGACATGCATCATCACATGAGCATGTTTCTTATCAATCTTAAACGTAAAACGCTAGTTATGTAACGAAATTCCAATATCATCACATTTTTAGCAAATTGAATGGTCCCACCTGTCACAGTGTTAGCTTTGGAAGTAAACCAATTCACAATACCATCAGTGGCATATATCGTGCCAAGCACAAGTGCCGCATGTGGCACAAAAATGTCCTAGCTAGGGAAGCAAACTTAATCGATCGTGTTGATTAAAGCACTTAAGTACGGGAGAAATTATCAATCAAAGAAGGTCACTCGAAAGGGAAGTTTTCTCGCTCAACGAACATGACTTTTTATTGGGCTTTCCGCAATGTAAGACCGAAGATATTCACTCCGTAATCGGCACAGAGGCATTTGCTTAGCAGTCGGGTCGTGCGTGCTAAAAACAACAAAAACAAAGGTGGATTAGAAACGCGATAGATTCGCCTTTGCACGGAGTATTTACACTCAAAATCGTGTCAACATAAATCGACTATGGCCCACCTTGCTAGCAGGAATCTTAAAATTTATCCGTGTAGTCGTCACACCCGCGCACCAACCGAAAGCGTTACTGGCGTTGCTGGAAGCCCCTCCGCCGTCAACTTTGAGTCGCTGTTGAGTCTGAAGAACTGCTCTATGAGGTTCATATCCAGCCACTGAGCACATACACAAGCACAGGAAATAATATTCCGTTCCAAGTACAAGCGAAGAACCCGGGGCGGAAAGCCCTGAATGCCAAACGACCTGCGTCGGGCGACGGCGACTGACTGCGTAGCACTGCGTAGTACACAGGTTGCGCGTTGCGCTTCTTCGACGCCTGCATCGCTGCGGCGGGTGGTCGTAGCTAGTCGTAGCAGATGTTGTCACCTCTGTTGCTCGTACCGGAACACTAGAGCCGCGTAATATTGTTGCTGTCGAAGTTTATAAGCCTACGTTCGCGGCCAACGCATTCGCACAAAGCCAACGCCCAGCGAACCTATCCCCCTCGTTCTCATTCGGCGACCGGCCGCCAGGGCGGTGACACCGTCGCTGAAACTCCTCAATAACTTCGAAGGGCAGGGGAACCTTCTCACGAGGACGTTGAAGACACTCAACACCGGAGCCACCAAAGCAATCGCACAAACCGTCGCCATGTTTGCTTCTTCTTCGTCACTCGCGGCGCGGTCAACTCGTCGCGAGATGTTTTCTGGCTCGGCTAGATGAAAACCAACAGCGGCAAAGTGGCGTATGGACACACGGCTCTCACATTACGGGCACTATACTCACATACCGCGGTTAACAGGACCGATGCCGGCGAAACGGCAGTCGGCACACCAGCGAAGAAGCCCTCAACGGGAACCGGCGGCGCAGGCCGACGCAGCCCCCCCTCCCCGTGAGCGTCTGGGTTCGAGATTATTGTTCGCTTTTGCTCCTTGCGGTCGAGGCTAAAAAGACCGCCGATTTTTGAGCTACCTCAACTAACTATATTTTCTGACTCCCAGGCCTTTACCCTTTCTGGAATGCTATTTAATATAGTGAAATTCATAATAGTTATTGCGAAATCGGCAAATGAAAATGATGCAAAAACAGACATTCAAATATACCCGCCCTTTTCAGGGCCGTGACGTCAGTGGAAGTTCAGCTTGCCAGTCGGGCGAGCAGTCTAAAAAATAGAATATGCCAATTATTTGTTCCGTGCTGGAGCGCGGGGACTGGAGCGAGCTTCCAAGGCATTCATTTGACACCATGAAACTGCTTCAAATCAGTTGGGAACAAATTCTACAGTCCAAAGAGTGAACCCCTGCACTTCCAATGGGATCGGTGGCCGAGTGGGCTGAAGCGCGCACCCAGCTCGACGCGCGTGGAGCGAAAGCTCGCGCTGCAGAACCCAGGGATCCTGGGTTCGAGCCCCACCCCTGCCCGTTTCGATCTGGATGAGCATCGTACCGGCGTGCGGTCGTGTATCACTACTGCGTGAGCACGTTAAAGACCCCAGGTTAGCAGTTGTACTGCACTGGCAAAATTGCTCTTCTACAGTGTAAACCAGTGTCGCCCCTACTGGCAGACCAACCTTACACTGTATAAACACTAAACGTCCAATTTGACTTTGATTTTTCCAATGACGTCACTTTTTCATTGTTGCCAGTAGAGACTTTCAGTTTGAAAAACACGGTGAGGACCAAAATTGTAAATTCAATAACTTAGTGAAAAGAAATTATTTTGATCTAATATTTGGTATACTATTTTGGCGATGTTGTTTGGCGAGTTCAGCAAAATTTCGAGCAAATCGGGGACCATAAAGAAATCGGCGGAGTGCCCCTATAAGCGGAACTGGCCACCCTAATCATAAAAATGATTTTTTTTTTTTTTTTTTTAAGCGCAGCTTTTAGGCGCTTGTTTCCGGGTTGAGCGGTATTCCCGTCGGCGTGATCGCGTTAAATTTAAAGGGAAAATTGACGTCACGTGACCTCAATGCCAATTCGATTCCCCGCTAAATTTAGCGGGGAAACTGACGTCACATTACTTGTTGTCACGTAGCCTGTGAACAAATTCAGTTTCTCCGCTAGATTTAGAGGGAAAAATTGACATCTCATGAGGAGGAAGGGGGAAGATGGGAGAAGAGGAGGATTAGTAGGGAGGAGGGGGAGTATGGAAGGAGGGGAGAGGATGAGCAAAGGGGGGAAAACGAGAACCCGTGAAGGAGAAAAGGAGGAGTGGCATACCCTCTCCCCCTCAAGAACTGCTCTCATTTCGCGTTAAAAATTTGTAAGCATATTTTTCTTTTTTTTTTCAGATACGTCATTGGCTTGTTAATATTTATTGACAAAAAGGACTGGGCGTGCTGTTCGGTCGAAAAAATCGTGCATGCATTTATTCTACATCTTTTCCGAATTTGAAAGAGCGACACTCGGATATCAACCTACCGCTTCAGTGAGGAAGTAATGTGTGTTGTAGTAGCGCATTTTTACTATCCAGCCAGCTAGTCATTCCAACGCCAAGCAAGCCCGATGGTTCCAGGCCCTGAACTAGCGCCACCAAAAAGCAAACAGTCGCGAGCCTTTTTTTTTTTTTTTTTTCTCCATGTCAGTTTTTTTGGGGGGTGGGGGGGGGGGGGGGGGCGGGGGGGTGCGTATAGAACCACCGGATGAGAGTGTTGCGCAATGAGACTTTCGGAGGCCATGAGCTCTACAAGCCCGATCAGTTCTATAAAACATCCGTGTTAAAATCCCCTAGAAAAGACACGCATCACGACTAGGCGTCCTTTGTAAAAGAATCCGTCAGTTCGACTCGAGTTTCCTGATGACAGGCCTGAGCGGCCTCACTGGACTGTCCTGGATCCAAATTACGTCGACATGCTTGTCCACCGGAGCCCAGCGTCCGTTCCCGAAGACCTGCACCGCGTCGCAATTCATGGGCACTTTCCGCAGCAACTCCAGCGTGAAGGGGTCCATGCGGAGTCCTTGCACGTCCACGTCTGCGTCGCAGACGGGGCATCGCCACGAGGGCCGAACAGTGGCTTCGTTCAGCCTCAAGTAGGCCAAGGCGTCGAAGCACTGTTTGTGCCGACAGTCGGCGCCGCGGCAGGGTGCGAAGAGCCTCGCCCTTTTTAGCGGACAGATCAGCGACACCGTATCGCACTCCACTGTGGCGTCTGGGTCCTCCTTGACATTCGCGACGGCGAACTGAGTCTTGGCGGCAGACACGTCATCGATGCCGCAGCCACTGTCAGCTATAGAAGCGAGCAGGCCGGGTTCTTGGGTCCTGTCTACCACGATGACTTCAAGGCGCAGGTCCTCGGGAATGGCATGGCTTATGATGATGAAGAAGTTGATGGCCGCCTTCACGTACCGGCTTACGTTGATGGTCTTGAGCGGTACGTCGAAGAACGTATCCGTGTTGACCGTCAGAGTTATCTTGAACGGCGTCGCGGGCTTGGCGGACGAGATGAAACGCAGGAGCACTCGTCTCCTGTCGCTGTCGCCGTCCAAGTCTCGCTGCTCAAGTTGGCAACTGAAGGACATGCTGCCGTAAACGGTCGCGACCCACCGTACCTCGCGGCTGCTTAAAACTTGGTAAAACGGCTTAAGAAACTGAGCGTCTTCATAATTCGTGTTGAGCATAGCCGAGCTGTACTGCTCCCTGTCGCTTCTAAACTGACTATGTGTTATCGCTGGAAAAATTTCGCGCGAGAACCAGGGGCGTGCCGGACTCACAAATTACCGGCCGGCACAAGATCCCTTCGCGGGCTTTTGAGGGAAAGTGGAATGATATACTTCGTTTCACCTTCAGTTCAGGCGCAGCCGAGCTTATATGAACAATCAGACAGCGTGAAAAGTACAGCCTCATGGTGTTCGTCACGTTTCTGTACGTGTTCTATCATCGCTGAACAAATCATAAACAGAAAAGGACTAATGACTCGCGCTTTTCACACTTTGATTTGCCCATCACCTCGTAGCGTCGGCTGCGTGACTTAAGCTGAAACGAAATATACTGCGTTTGAATTTTACAAACTGCATATAGCGCAGTGGGACACGAGAGAACTCGCCGATGAGGGTAAGAAGGAACGCGGTTTTCGTCGTGGAAATCCCAAAATAAAGGCGGACTAATTTTCTGTTATTTCCTCGCGAAAGCTTTTTGATACAATTGTGATCCACTCGGGGAAAAAAACGGCTCCGACCGCGTCGTAGCTGAACACTCCTCACTCATTAGCTACGAGCAAGCGTTATGTTCCTGTCGGTTTAAGAATTGATAACCGTCAGCGAATATTCGAGTTTGCGTTCGCCGTACGTCATGCTTTGACATTTTCTTGCTCGTTCATTGTCTAGAAAGCAGACTCTGACCACCGCGCTTGTTGCGAATATGTGCTCACAGCGCTTTGAACATCATTCAACAAAATGATGAGTTGGGCCAGTTGGTTCATTTCATTTTTCATTACACACTAAACGCGCCAAAAATACGAGGACACAAAAGAAAGACTGTCGTCAACGCAAGGCGCTTTGTGTTGTCGTCAATCTTTATTTTGTGGCCCTGTCCTTTTGGCCCTTTTAGTTCGTAGTGAACATTATTCACCCAGGCGAGTAGATCCTATGCAGATCGGTGGCCCGAACCAACAACACCTACAACGCGCCGAGAAAGTGAAGGAGACGAGAGCGCGTGGGGTCACCAGAACGCCGAGCTCTGATTGGAACGATTAGTGGGTAGACCCGAAGCTAGCAGCCTTTGTCTCCACTACGCACATCATAGAACGCGGAACGCGGGCGTCCGGCTTTTGGCTCTCGCATTCGAACGCGTTCGACGACTGCAGTGGAGACAGACATCTAGCTTTAGATCTACCCACTAATCGTAATTGAGAGTTTGAATACATAAAACCTCAAAGTCAAAAGAAACGAAAATCTAATTTTGTCTATTGAGAAATTATAGATAAGCCTTTTTTTTTTTCCTAAAAAAAAAAATCGTTTTGGGCTATTCTGGCGTTTATCACGACTGAAATATCGGTGAAATGTAAAGATATAATTGGCTTACCAATTCTTCACTTCATTCGGCCCAAATAAGCGCACAGTGACACAAAATATTGTTTAAAGGGACACTGACAGGGTATTTATGCTCGCCAAGATTTTTATTTGTACACGACATATAAGAGCCAAACTACTTAGAAAACAATTCGCGGCTCGAAATTCGTTATCTTTCCGCCTGAAAACCACCGATCGAGAACTGGCGGCTTGAGTCGCGCTCACTCTCTCCTCCGTTGTCACGTGCCGTTTTCTACGGTTTAGAGCAGGGGTGACGAAGCTGCGGCTCGCGAACTGCATGCGGCTGTTCGCGTGTTAAAGTTCGGCTCGCAACTCCCTCCCCTCCCCCCCCCCCCCCCCCCCCTTCCCGCACTTCCCCAAAAAGAGAAATGGAACGGGTTTTAAATCCAAAGATAGGTTGCGATTTGGTAGTCTCGTGCTACTGCTACCTTACGTACAGTTGGACTGTTTTTGACTCGGATAGGTTGAAAATGGTTCGAGTTTCGTATATTGTTCTAGACAAATGTTGCCCGGTCTTAGGCCGGGTCAGCCTGGCCACCCCTGGTTTAGAGTCTCGACACAGCCACCAAAGATAATCAAAAGTAGCGGGTCATCGAAGGCACACGCACAATATTAAAATAGAAAAGAAATTTGATATCCATTTGTTGTGGCTTTTAAAATACTCCAAATACCTTGATTTGGGAGAAGAAAAGAAAAGCAACGCAGTCACGTGCCTTCTGCTAACTCTCTCCTCCTCTGCAGGTCTTCTTCCTCCCCAGTCCAGTTTCGGTTTCGAGCAGTTGCGTTTTTTTACTTCATTAAAAATAGACGTGACGCTGTAGCAAAAAATTGATTGGGTAGTCTTCTGACACCATGATAAATCGCCTGGCGAAAAATAACAAATAAAATTGGGGGTGTGAGTGTCCCTTTAAAGGAATACTACTACAACGAAATTTTGGCGCTCATTAAAGGAGCAGCATCACAACGAACATACCAATATCTTGTAAAAAAAAGTCACGAAAAGGAATTTTAAAACGAATTAAACGATCAGCAAAGAGCACCTGGTGGATGTCGCTAACGCCTCGCTTGTAATGCCCGTGGACGCCGGAAGTATATCGTGAGTGGGGGGGCTAAAGCCATGTTCCTTTTTGTCGTTTTTTGTATGATCTACTATTTTTTTTTTTTTTTTTACTAAAAAGAATTTAAATATTACGATCTGAGTTTCGTTTGAGAGAAAACACTATCCTAGCGGGTTCGTTTTTGTTCCTTTCACTATACTTCGTTTCAGCTTCGGTCCGAGCGCGGCCAATGTTATGAGCCGAAGGGCCAATCAAACAGCGAAAGAGGCACAACGTCATGGCGTGCTCTCTGCAGTTGATAGGACCAGCCGGTATTCGCCGTCTCTATGTGCGTGCTTTTCCGCCGGCTAGTCCTATCAAGCGCAGAGAGCGCGCCATGACGCTGCGCTTTTTGCGCTCTTCGATTGGCCCTTCGGCTCACAACATCGGCCGCGCTCGGACCGAAGCTGAAATGAAGTATAGGTCCTGTGCGGTTTCTATTTTCTGCATGAGAAAACAATTTTCTTACGCAGTGCTCCTAATTGCTAAATACTGTATATCATCAAGAAGGAACTGTACATAATAAGTTTTCAGAGATCAGTTCTTTATTGATGGTCCACAAATTAGGAAAGCGAGGAAACAAGCAGTGTGATTGAATTGACGCATTTACACAAACGGAACTCATGATGAGCTAAGAAGAACTGCGGAATATCTTACCTTGAGAATCTCCGCTTCCTAGGCATGTACGCTTTGGGGCTGGTAGGAAGAAGCTGGTGATCTTCTTTGAATGGCCAGACATTGCATGTAATGCTGGAGTCGAAGAGACACTGACTGACGCTGACTGCATACGCCTCTGACGGGTTGAACCCTCCCGATGTCGTTGGGAGGGTAGGATCAGCCCCGATGATCTTGGAGCTTGGTGGCGGGCACGTTGTTGAATGATGCTCTGACTCGCTGCTTCTCGTAAACTTCAACGTTTATCTAAACGCATTCAACTTGGACGACCACCTCTCTGGTTCCGAGTCTAAGACGAACTCCGCTAATTTCATTTCTCGCTTTTCGCATCACAACTCTAACTTTCCCTCGCTCTCGAAGGACGAGCCAATAATTTCAAACCTGAAGATCATCACGTGCTCTCGACCGGACCAGTCGCCGGCAAGGACATCTTGAGACCTTCCTAAACGAAAACAACCGTCAAAGCTCGTGAAATATGACAGAAAGCGTCCGGTCCGAGGCGACAATCTGGCGCCACACATGTCTCGTCGCAGTATCCCCCACGCTACGACAACAGCAACGCTCTAGAGGCCCCCATACTAAGCCCCAGTTGGCCCCCGCACGCCACTCCCCGGCCTTGCCACGGGCAGATCGGGTCCAGCTTGCTCTAAACCCTCGTAGCCGCCGTGCTGATTTACGACGGACATTGGATTAAAAAAAAAAAAAAAAAAAAAAGCGCACTCTTGAAATTAATTGTTCTTGTCTAAAATCTCTACGTGCGACAAGACTATGCCTTGCTGCTCCGTGGCTTGCACCTAACATGGACGCACGTGATGCCTTCGTGACGAGCGCCTGGCTGGCGTTATATCCCCGAACTATTCTTATGAGGGCAAGGGGGCTGAGCCCCCCCCCCCCCCCATAAGAATACTTGGGGGGGCTCTGGCCCCCCCTGCCCCCCCTCTTCCGGCGTCCCTGTAAGACTAGGAACCTTGACAGCTAGTGACGGAGGTTGTCTCGCCTCCGGCCACGACGAGAGAAGAGGGGAGGAACTCCCCTTTTCCCGAGAATGCCTTTTGTGTGTCGCAGAAGTCGCCATTGTCCCCCTACAAGATTATAGATTAACCCGTCACCCAAATTCGTATAAAAGCAGCCGCTTCGGTGGCTGGAACGACTAGGCCATCCTCTCGACGTCAGCCTCGCCATAGCTTTGCTCGTCCCGAGACGATCTACGTCACGATTGCGTTGGATGTCACGTGCTCTCCGCTGGGCCTTCTCCGAGCGCTTGCCAGAGTGGGCCGTTTATAACGAAAAATACAGCCACCAGGCTCGAAATACAAACGTGCGATTGTGGATCATATTCAACCTATTTTTGAACACGACGGGAATATCTCAAATTTCGTTGAAGTATCCCTTTAAGTGTACATGCAAAGTGAGAGAAAGCAGTTTTCGATTTTTCGTGATTTACGCTTCAACCACCTTGAGACATTTCTGTAGTGAATCCTAGCACGATACGTTAACCCGATTTATGCAGACCGTTTAAAGTGGGACCGAAGCTTTAGTGTCCACGCTGTATTTTGGAGTTGACTGATCGGGAGGACTCCAACGCATGAAATGTTCTCCTCTAAACATACTCAGCTGGCCTTTGAGAAGCGTCATCCGTTCTTTTGCCGTACACACACAAAAAAAATAATAATAAAAAAAGCGGAGAATTATTATGGTTAATCACCCTGCCGTAACCCATATTTTGTGGCGTGCGGCGATAGCATTCCCGCCCGCTGTGATTACCTATTTATAGGCCTAGACTGTCGGCCTTTAACCGAAAAACATCCGCCGGTGGTAAAAATATCAAATTGGACAAAACGATTTCTGGGAATCTTTGATCCGAGAGGACAAACACATGTAGGGTGACGTGCACCTTCCTGTTAGCGAAATGCGGGACGTCCGTGGCCGGCGGTGGCGGGGTGGGGGGGTAGAGGAAATTTATAAACACGTACACAACGAGCCGAGGCTCTGCTAACGTATTTATTATCCTGTACTGCTTAAAGACCTGCTAATTGTATTGCAGCAATTAAGCTCAAATAATTTCCACTACCAGTGATATTTTTAATGCCAAACATGTAATAAATGCGTCAAAGTTTAGGACATAAAAATTTACTGTATCATAACTCACTGCATCAAATGTAAATAAACAGTAAATGTTTTTCGGGTCATTGTTCCCAGTCAACGCTTGCTTTTACCAACATGGTCCTACAGAATTTTTTTTTCCCATTATGCTTTTTTCCGATCGTTGTGAGTGTGGCTGTTTTTACTAAAAACAAATCCACAACAACCCTTCCACATTGACATAGCAACAAGAAAATAATTATAATATTTTGTATTTAAACTTTTGGCGAGATATTTTTCTTACAATATTTTCCACCAAAAGGAGAGAGAGGCACAACGGTGCATGCGCGTCGGTTCTCCTGCAAGAACCACGGTCGATCCCCGCAATGCTTGGATAGAAAATGGCATACCGCTGCGATTCACATGATTACCAGTGACCTCGGCGCTTCCCTCTGCCCCGTTGATCCGCAGTACCACGAGTTGCAGAGTAAATTTGACGACAGCGTGAAATGCGGGACATTTTGAAGATTTCGGAATTTCTCGCGGGACAGTCCCGCGAATCGCGGGACGGGTGGTCACCCTAAACACATGACCACAAACACTGGTGCAGACACCGCCTGCAAAACCAACGCGGCGATGCTAGCCAAAGCTGGACGCGCCGGTGCGATGGCGACGCTGAAAGCGGGAAGCGGTCGCGAACCCGTGGTTCAAGCTCAAGCCCATGATTATAAATTTTTTTTCACAAGCGTAGCGGAGCGAGACGGGGGGTGTTCACGCGTAGCGTGGTCTGTTTGAAAGCCCAGCTTGAATCTCTAGAAGAGGCGCCTTCGAGCTCTTACTCTGTCGTCGGTTAGCAGACGATATTTGGGAAATCGAGTCAGCTGGTGCTGGTTGCAGACACTGCATTCGCGTACAGTATACATTGTTGCCATGGTCAGTGCTGTGATTGGCCCGAGTCACTTAGGAGCACGTTTTGGAGCAGCAAGGAGACCTTTTTGAGCAGACACACACTTCATTTCCAATCCTACCGGCCTAACTAAATGATGTCGACTACTTTGCCTTGCGACTAACATGCAACCTTTTATTAGCATCCATTGCACGGCAGGTTTGATTCCCTCAAAAAGACAACTAGCTATCTTGTTTCAGAAAGAAACCCCGGCCACAGCAACAAGACGCTGACTGACAAGAACTGTCTGAACTGCAGTGGATTGTTGCTTCAGGTATGGAGTCAGTGGTAAACCAAACATTTTCTATGGAAGTGAGAACAGAACAATATTAAGCACCTGAATCAACATTTCATTAAGTTCTAAGGTTGCAATAAAACTGCAATTCTTAAAAAGAACAGATTTGTTGTTTGATTATAAACACTAGTGCCATTTCATATGTAGAACTTTGTGAGAACAAAAATCTGCTTTTGAACGATAAATAGGACGAAAATAACCCCTGGAGAAGGGAAACAAGGGGGGCAAAGGACAAACACAAATCTCCAAACACTGCTAGGTGACTGGTGTGCGACCGAAAGAATTCGCCAGGTCCTGGTATCGAACCTAGGACCTCTCCCATTTCCAGTGAAGCGCTCTACCAACTGAGCTAACCAAGAGTTAGACGTCAGTAGAGCAAACGGGTTCTATCAGCCACCTTTGCATTAACTGCATTATCATGACCTTAAAATGCAGGCCGGTTCAATCCTGTTGGTGTTATGACTGGTAGCAGCTGATAAAACCCATTTGCTCTACTGACGTCCAACTCTTGGTTAGCTCAGTTGGTAGAGCACTTCACTGGAGATGGGAGAGGTCCTAGGTTCGATACCAGGACCTGGCGAATTCTTTCGGTCGCACACCAGTCACCTAGCAGTGTTTGGAGAATTGTGTTTGTCCTTTGCTCCCCTTGTTTCCCTTCTCCAGGGGTTATTTTCGTCATTCTTGTCCAGCTTGCTTGCACATTTGCAGTATTTGCATAATAGTGATGAATATGTATCCTTACGATGCAGCCAAACTCTATTAAAATTATTAAAGTTTCTACCCACTGCCCCAGCTCATTTAATTTTCTCCATTCACTGTGTCATCACACAGATGAAACCTGCATAAAGTTGGTAGCTATACAAGAGCAGACATAAAAATAAACGTAAAGAACAGTCCCTATAAACATCCTCACAATATTCAATCCTCCCAATACCCATAGTTCTAGGATCACCCCAAAAAATTTCTAGAGGAACCTTGTGCTTTCTGCTTTCTGTAAGCTCACCGTTTCACCATTTTCAGCTTTTATTTGCATATACGACTACTTGGGACCAACACCTGCTGTTATAAGATTCAAAACACTAACACACTGGCAGTTTTAAATAAAATGAGAACAAGCACACCGCCTTTGCCCTGTAGCACAATTCACTAGGCTCAACAGGCCTAGAAACAAATATCTCTCAATACGGTAGTTTTTGGCTTTCCTGCCGATTTTTATAGCAGTGTTATAAGAAAACACCCGTGTTATAGAGGTATTGTCTTACAGCTGGAAGCCCCGAGCTCGTAGCCTTATTGTTGGCAGTTGCTCCTATTGAGCAAGAGTTTGTGCAGCCGAGGCACTCCCCTTGAGCATAAAGATAGCACTTGTAGCCTAGAAGTGCTATTTTCATTCCATCCGATTTACATGAGAAAGGGCCGAGAACCAATTATTCGGACAAAGTAATACTTCGTCAAAAAAAAAAAAAGCAGAATAGTGCAAAATGCGCAAGCACAATATACGAGCCAAGTTCCTTTTCTAGCGAAAATGAATCAACGTTATAAAGTTATTTATGGCGGATGTGGTGCTCAAGGCACAGGATGCTTGCGGGCAGTGTTTTAGAGTCACAAGCCGCATGTTCAAAACACCGGCCTACCCCCCCCCCCCCCCCCCTCCCTTCTCTTGCCCAGTATCAAACTGCCCAATAAAAACTTACTCCAGCATGCACAGGACTTTAAACAATTTAAGGAACTTAAAAAAGAAATGGTGTAATACCTAGGACCAGCATTTCATTATTACCTTAAAACCCAGCACCAGAATAAAACTCTTCATACAAGGGATCAAAAATGTCATTTTATTTAACATTCATCTCATTTGAAAACAACTCCTTGATATCACAGGAATTTCTAGATGAAATGGTTGAAAAACTGGCACACCTGTTTCTCAAATACACAACTTGAAACATGAATGAGTGTGACTTGTGATGAGAGTGCTCAGATGCAGAGCATCAATAAAAACTTCTATTGACTGTTGCTTGCAGCTCTAGAGAAGACTCCTACATGGATCCTCTTCCAATACCTGTAAAAGCAAAACATTGAGTCTAAAATTGCTATTCGTTAAGAACAAAAAATTAGGACTTTTGTGAAACTGGAAAGAAAAAAATAAATGCCTTTCTTACATGTTGCTTTTACACTTAATGTGCCATTCAAATTGTTTGCAACCCCATTTGTAATTAGTGTTATTCAATATTATATCCAAGCAAACAAATTTTGGCATGTTCAATTACCTTTTTCTTTTAATTGCACCATTTTTTTTTACAGCTAAAAAGAGTTTTACACAAAAGTGGCTTTTGTGGTTGAAAGTTTGTGCAGCCTCCTAAAGGTCTATTCACACGATGCATCTTGTTGGCGAATCTTGTGTCGCGAAACTAGGTTTCGGGAAACAGATTCGCCGTCTGAATGTGACCAAAAAAGTGGCACGCCTCAGAAAAAAGTGGCACGTGTTCCTCGCTACTGGAGCAATTTTTAGCTGAAACCTCAGCGAGGCCTGTCAATCAGCCGAAGGAGAAACGCGGACGCTGCCAAAGGCCGCTCGACTTCGCTATGACGTCTGACCTTCGAGGAGGAGCAAGCTTTTGGAGGAGTCCGATTTTTGGCTGATTCCGTATCAGAGCCAAAGCCGAAAGCAAACAAACAAACATGGCGAGCGACAAGCGGAGAAGCGGTGCGTGCGGGCGATGAGTCTTGGTCCTAATCGGTTGCACGTGTGTGAACGGCACTTTAGCAGTACGGGTTGGTGGCGCGGTGCAGATCCATGAGCAGTCGGGACGAGTGCAAGCACCGCATATAAACATGATGGCTGGGGATAACTTTATCAGCAGTGCAAACATGTCCGAAATGCTTCGAGATCACCCGCCTGTTCTTTGACATTCGCGGTCTTTCCCGGGTTTGGCAGGACTAGTGAACCCAGTGAGCCGAATCTGACGAAGTTCATTGCGTGGTATTAATAAAACGGACTGTCTCTTCACACTGTGCGTACTTCATATCATTTTTGACGCAAAACGCTTGGTATTCCCGGTACATATGACAAGGCTTGGCGGAATTCTCGTGAGACAATACGTCACAGGTTTCGCGCGTGAAACTTCATGTGTGAACATGCAGATTTCACGAAATCTCGGTTTCAGGAAACTGTGGCGCAATAAAAAGATGCATCGTTTGAATAAGCCTTAAGTTTGTATGCTTAATCTACCCAGCCAATTACAATGAAGTAGCACAAATATGAGTATTAAAAATAGACTCTTTAAGCAAACACAAGCTTGAGCATCATTTTCAAGTACTTCAGTTATGTTTCAGGCGTGAGCCTTGAAACTAGGATTTCTGGAGTTAGATCACACCAAAAGCGAAATAGGAGTATGCCTCATATAATGTCCTTGAATGAGAAAATCAACCTGTTAGACCATGGTTTCTTTTATGCTGCTAAGTGTGTTCCGGCATCTCGCCGCAGCGGGGCGCCTGTCACCTGGCTCTCCTCTCATCCGTTGTCTACCGCTCTACCTTTTTACATTTGGCGACCGCGTCTCATGGCGATGTGCCAGGCTTTGTCAGCATAGAAGAGGCTTTGTCCCAGCTCACGTCTCCAGCAAATGTGGTCAGAACAAAACGAGCAAATCGTTTTGAGCTAATGGCGAGGCACATACACGACAAAACAATCGACGCGTGTAAAAATATAAGACTGCTTGTGCATAATTAATACACCGGGGATTTCGGAAGTCAATTCCAGATATTTTAATGTGATCAAATTTATATGACGGGCCGGCCCTTTTGTTGTGCCTGTGTTTGGCTCTTCATAGATTCCCAGAAAAACAAGATGACATGATAAATGCGGGTTTCCAAAACCTTATTTTGAAGAATTAAATACCACACAAATTAAAACAAATAAACTCTTAATTTCTTTTGCTAAAGTGTCCCATTCAGGCAACTTTGTTTATTTTGACCAAAACCATATGAAATTAGAAAAAAAAAATTTACACTCAGGTGTAGATATTGAGTTTGGTAAACCCAAAGTAGGACTGGTGCGGGAGTCTTACACTTAATAAAGTAATACCAAGGTTAAAATTAACAAGCAGCATTATATGATAAGAATTAATTTTAATACGAGTACAGTGATAAATTCAGTGACTGGCCAGACAAAGATTCTGGGTCTGTGGATAGCTTTTGCACAGGGTGTGGATAGCCACCTCCTCTCAGAGACAATCTTATTTTCTACGAATACAAGAAAGTGTTTTGCAAAGGTAAGGTCCAGTTTGTTGTATGCACATGTTTTCCTATTTCATATAAATATTTCATTGGGAACAGAAGAAATAGGCATGACAGCTTTATGACTGTCCTTATCTAAACACACCCAAAAATAGAAGTGCCAATGATGTCCTCACTGTTGAGTAATACATAGGAACAAAAACCCAACTCGCATGCAGTGGTGCTGGACTCCGACAAATAATGACAAAAGAATATTGTGCAAAGAAGCAGTCGGCAAATGCTGAGTACTGATCTACTGGAGGCCCTGCATTTATCCCAACAGATTTTGTTGACCTTCCACTCCTCATTGAAAAAGGAGGGACAATGGATGGTTTATTTTGAGGTTGATCAGAAACTCTAATGCACTACAAAGCATGACGCAATGGGCCCCGTTAAGCGCGCTTCTCACCAAGCACCAGTGCACTATGCAGAAGCAACATCCCGGGCACTCGCTTTCGTGGGTGTTGCTTGTCCGCAGCGTACCGGTGCTCAGCGAGAAGCACGCTCTACAGAGCTAACGTGCCGCGATCGACGCTCAGAAAAACATGAACATTTTAGTTTATCTTGAAGTGAATATCGAATAACTAGGATTCCGTGTATTCGGAGTTTATTTCTCAAGAAATTTGGTGGGGGTTTTTTAGAGTTCATTTTTCGATAAAACTTCTGTCTTTATCGGAGTTTATTCTTGTTAAATTGCTGATTCTCAGGAATCCTGAGTTCATTTTACTGTGTTCCCAGTTTAAAAAAAGAAAAAAAAAATTGAGACCGGGTGTATGACTGGTTGTGTACTGAAGGAACCTCGACCGGCTGAGTTTTCAAAAGAAACTGAAGTGGCGTCTTCTCAGGACCCCTCACTTTGGGCTCTTATGAAGTTTATTTGTATTTATTTCGTCATTGTGACCTTGAAATTCCGAGTTTTTTTGGATAAGTTTCAATTTATGAAATATTTACCGGTGAGCGTTTTATGGATTCGCCCGAAAACACAGAACCCTACAAATAACAAATTAATCAGAACTACTATTCGGAAATCTGCACAGTCCTAAACGGTTGCTCATAGCGCTGTTAAAGGACCCCAAAAAAGATAAGTTTTTTTTTTTTGTAAAAAGTTTGGTTGGGACATGCGTGTCAAGAAATAAATTTTACGCAAAAAAAGAAATTTTTTAGAGCAATATTGACGGCGAGAGATATATCTGAAATTCTGTGTACGAAGTCCATGACGTCACTGGTCATTCCGGAATCACCATCTCGGTCGTGAAGACGAAGCCGATCCACCTCTCCTCCAAGCACCCAGAATATTGAGAGAGAAAACAAGTAGAAAGGAGGTGACTGCCGACTAAATCGCGTCTTGCGCCGTCAGTATTGTATTAAATAATTACTTTTTCACATTATTTTTTTACCCAACTAAATTGTTTAGAAAAACTATTTTGTTTTTTCAGGGGCCCTTTAAAAGGATGCTGAACCAAACATTTCAGTGTCTATAATAAGTGGCGCACTATCTTTCCACAAGTCAGCAGCCGCCGGCGTGTGCGAGCACACACCACGAAATTGACGCAATCATTTCCTTCATTCATGCTCAATAAGCTTCAATGGGGATGTGATGACATCATTTTTGTTGCGTGCGCTCGTGCACACCGGCGGCTGTTCACTCGTGCGTGGAAAGATGGTGCACCACTTATTATAGACACTGAAATGTTTGGTTCAGCATCCCTTTAAGGGAGGACACTACCCAAAAGGGACACCTTTTGAACCTTTGGCTTAACATAAATGAAATTTACAGTATATACTCGCAGGTGAGAAGCAGAATGCAGTGCAAAGTTTCATATGTGTACGTGAATTGTGAAAAAAATTAGTGGTTTTTATCAGAAACACATTGACATGGTTTAGGGAAACTATTGTTAAAACATTTATGCAATACCCAACATTTTTCTATTAGATATGCAGCAGAATGCCCAGTAGGTGCAGCTGTTAAAACAAAATTTCAAGAAAGCAACTTATTTTATGCTAACATCACGCTGAAAAATCAAATAAAATTTCTTGCCTTTTATGCTGTCAACAAAATCTTAATATCTTCTATAAAAGACATCCACAAGTAAAACAATCAATGCTACAGCTGCATTGCCCATGAAATTCCACTCAAGGAAAATTATGAGCGAGCCTTTCCTTTTATCCCGTTACGAAAAGATAGTTCTCCCAAAGAGAAATTTATGCCAAAAAGCGGAATGGAGAAAACGTGCTCAAAGTGCTCAAACCTCCACCTTTTCTTTAGCGTCGGCGGACCGAAAATAATTTAAAATTAAAAAATAACCATAAGGTGATAACAAATGAAATTTTCAGAGAATACTTTTAGATGTTGGTCGATGTAAATATAACATTTTTGAAAATCAACTTTTTTGCAAAAGTTTTTTTTTTTTTAAAGGGGAACTGAAGTCATTTTTGAAAAAGGTTGTTTTTGATCTTATATTGTTTAAATGTGTTAGTTCCCACATTTGCCAAGTCCTATATTACAAAACCGCCTATTCGTCTCAGGGCAATAGAAAAACATGTAGAAACGTTTTGCTCGGGGACTACATTGTGTGGACCAATGAAAGCCTTACAATACGTGCAGAATCCGAGTGATTTTATTATAACTGGTTCTGAAGAGAGTCTGATAGGTACACATTCGGATAAGACTCCTCTTGTTCTGCGCAAGCAAGCCATCACTTGACACTCGCCGACAAGCGCCCTTCGTCAACCACTTCACTCGGAAGAAAATTCTTCCCAAAAAGGGTGTGATGCGATCTTTGAACGCGCTTTTAATGAGGAAATAAGTTACACACTGTTGTCGCTTCAGGTTTGTTGCAATGCTTAGAGCGTCTAGACTAAGTTGTCACCACAAAAGGACGATCGCAGAATTGACTTCAGTGCCCCTTTAGAAGTATTTCCAACCCACATTCAAAGAATGATGCGAGAAAATTAGGACATCAATGCACATTGTTCTGGGCTACCCAGCAACGGCGCGAGCCCGGTTTCTCCTCGTAAGCATCCGCCAGCGGTTGCGGCACACCCGTTCGCACTTAGATAGGTGAGGCGGCGCTCCGCCCGTCTGGACTCACCGCCCCTGCCTGCCAGGAGGCTCAATGGGGGCTCCCTGGGCCGCTGCACGTTGGGCTGCGTCCTGGGAAGGCGCGGCATCTGGACCCCCCGCTGCTCCTGCTCGGGCACGCCCAGGTCGGTGCCCCTGCCCAGGCCTGGGGCGCGGCCGGAAGGCGCCAGGAACTGCGCTGCCAGGCGGGGCTGCTGGGGTGGCCTCGAGGGGTGCCCGTCTGCGGGGAGTACGCGGCGAGGCGGTTTGAAGTTTGAAGGCTTCGTGTGCAGAACCGACAAAGGGCATCTGGCACACCCTGGCGAAGGACCGAAGGTGCATTTAGACCACCAGGGACCATTTCGACGTGCAGCCGAGATCTCGGCTCCGGCCTTTGAGCCACCGAGGCGCGGCAACCCACAAACAGAGGCAGACGGGTCGGGAGGTGGATCAGGACTACTGCAGGGAGTTTCTTTTCAAAGCGCTACAAAAGCGTTTTTATAAAGCTGCAAAAAATACACTAATGCGACCCATGACGGTGCGTCATACCGCCAGGGGCACATCATATGGGGGATAATTGTCACAATAAGCGGGGTGAATTAACTAAAACTTGTTGATTAACCTTTTATTTATTAAAGATAAAGATGGTTCCAATGAGAAACTTTCTGAGAGTCACCGAAAACCACGAAATGAGTAAATTTAGAAAGACTCGTGGCACGCAAACTACTGTGGTAAGCTAAAGTTATTGCTCATGCAACGGATGCGAGGAGAGCGGCACAGAAATGGTCCCGCATGGTTTTTACATCTCTTATCGTGAGTGTTTTTGCACGGCCAGCATTGCAGCCGTTGCTCGAGTGGCTAATTTAGTGCACCGCTGCACTCTCCACACACCCCCAAGGGTCCTAAAATTTACTTTCATTGGTTTTTAATGACGCTCAAGAAGTTTCTGATTAGAAGAATAACTCATTCATTCAGTACTCGCAGCACCTTCCGGCATTATAGCACAAAAAAAAACACACATAAAAAAAGCAAATGAACAGGTAATTATTTTTAAATTTTGAAACCTCGCGAGATCAGAAGTATTTAGACGCACCTCACGGCATGCCCAACACCCTTCAAAGTTTGCGTCACTCCAACGCACTCCATCACACTCCGCGACATAGAAAAAAATAAACAATACACAAAACCCTATCCCCCCCGAGCACACCAAGGTGTGCAGCAGCTACGGTGCAACACGCTTATAACAATACCACATATAACGATGTACCGCTTATAACAAACAGTTTCTAGATTTGCTAGACTGGAAATGATCAGTTCCTAGTCCAGATACAACGATAATTGGTTATAACGATTGAAATTTCGGGTTTTCTCATCATCGTAGTAAGTGGGTTTCATTGTATACATAAGAATAATTATAATATACCTTTGTACGTTGTTAACTTCTGCCTGGGGTTGGACGTTGTTAACTTCTGCCTGGGATTTATCGTTTATGCAATCATACCAGTCAAATGAGCCCACCGTTTCTAAAACAGTATAAGAGGCATCGTTTGATAAAACTAAGACTACAGTAGAAGGTAATTTGTTCTACTGGCACCCTGGTTATGGAAAAACTGAACTCCTAAAATTCGCAGTCTTGCACCTGTATTCACAAACTTTATGAATGTGATCCACACGTGCGGATAGCTATATGAGAGAAACAGGTAGGTTTCATGCGAGATGCCAGTCTGGGAGGGAAATCTACAGTAAAAAAACTTTAAACAAAGCCTTGCTCTGCAGCCATTCCATTGTATTCCATTTCAACATTTGTCTGGAGCGCGTTGCACTAAGCACTCTATCTTTTAAAGATTTTCCTAAAGCATACCTAGCAGTGGTGCAAAACTATTGATGGTACTATTGATAGTTGATTATCGAAAAACTATTGATTGCACAATCGATAGTCGACTATCGAAAAACTGTCAATAGTACTATTGATAGTACTATCAATAGTCGACTATCGATAGTTCTGCAGCTTTATCTATAGTTTTTGAAAAACAATCAATAGTATCGATAGTCAATTTATTGAGAGATTTGCATCACTAATACCTAGCTGTTTGATTTTGAACTTTTTCTCATTTATTTTTTTATACACTAGTTGGGGGAGTCCCACAAAGTGCAGGTATATTCTAGTATAGGTATCCCATTTGTTTTATACAGCAGTTCCCGCGTAACCTGTGGAAAGTTACGAGTGTTTCAAAGCAAGAAACCCAAAGATTTTAAAGCTTTTGCTACGGTATAACCTACATGCCGATACCAGCTCAAGGAGGATGTGAGGCAAACACCTAAATATTTGTAATCTGAAACTGTTTTAAACGAGTGTTGTTGATACCGTAACAAGAACTGGCGGTTGTTTGTTTTCTAGAAAAAGTCATGCACACGATTTTATGTAGGTTCAACTTCATCTGCCATTTTTCGCTTTGTGTATTTATAGTGCAACAATGAAATTGTCACTATAATGTGTTACTTTTCTATATAATATGCAATCACTTGCAAACAGTCTCATGCATAAAGTGACAACCTCATTAATACATAAATTAAAAATAATAACGGTCCTAAAACCAACCCCTGTGGGACTCCTGATGTTACTTGGGCAATTCTTAATTTACTTCCATTTACTACAACAAACTGACATCTTTTGTGCAAATATTAAAAAATCCAGGAGATACCTTGATAATTAATATCATAATGCAATAACTTTTCTAGCAACAACTTATCAAACGCTTTACTGAAGTCCAAGAAAATACAGTCGACAGTTTTAAGGTTATATCCATTGCCTCACACAAATTGTGAGTAAACATGGTTAACTGCGTGACGCAAGACAACCCCCCCCCTCCCACAAGCCATGTTGTTTCGGATTCAACAATGAATGAGCATCCATATATTCAACGATAGACGTGTACAAGATATGTTCTAGAATTTTACAAGAAACAAAAGTCAATGAAAAAAAGCAACCGCATCTCCACGTGGTGAATGATGTTGATTTGGGCGAAGCTCTGGTGGTGCTTGTCTGCGTAGACAGACGCTGAGCCGCAGCATGCCGAGCCTTTCGTTCGTTTTCATTCATGTCACGCTGCGGTCAAATGCTCAAATGCGTATATAACCACGTTCCATACCACACATTCTCTTTCTGGCATGAATGAAAACAAACGAAAAACTCAGCATGCTGCGGCTCACCGTCTACGCAGACAAGCACCACCAGAGATTCACCCCAATCAACATCATTCACCACGTGGAGACGAGTTTTTTTTTTTTCCCCTACATGAGCACAAGAGCACGTGCTCACGTGCTCGTGAGCACGAGCACCCAACGTCGGACGGACATACGGACATGGCTAGCCCCTAAGGAGCTTCGCTCCTAATACTACAGTAATTTAACATCTTGTTATGAGGCCCAGATTTCTTGACTGGTATGACAGAGGCCAACTTCCAATCATCTGGTAGAGAGCAATCACTCTGACTTTTCAAAAATAATTTTCAGGTCCGAGGACACAGAACGAGCACAAGATTTTAGCAATACTGTCGGCAGGCAATCAGGGCCAGCAGCCTTTAAAACATTTAAGTGCTCTAATACAACTGTTATCCCATTTATATTGAACAATATAATTTCCATCTATATGCCTGATGAAACCACAGAACTAAAGTAAGAGTTAAAACATCCCGCCTTTTGAGAAGCGTCAGTGGTTACGTCATTTTTCACAAGAGACGGAATAGATGCATTATCTTCTTTTTTTTTTTTTTCTTTTTACATATTTCCAGAGTTCTTTAGGGGTCTCTGGTTTTAGAGTCCAACAAGTCAAAGAAGAAAGGTTTTGCATTCGCTATCTCAATGTTTTGCTCACTAGTTATCACTCTCAGTTTTCCGATATTTTCAGTTGATGGATTGTTTTTAAAAGTGCACTAGATTCCTTCTTTTTCCTGTATCAACTTTCGTGGTTGTTTTGTAAACCATGGCTTGCTTTTATTACACCTTTTGGTCAAAATCCACAAAGGGAAAAAAGATTCTGCAATTCCAAAACCTTTCTCTTAAAAAGTACCCAGAGTATAGTTAAAGGATAGGATTCTGCAAGTGTTTCAAAAAGAACAAACTATGCATCCAGTGCAACACTGATTTCAGGAATGTTAGCTTTTTTGTAATAAAATATACGTCAACTTGCCCTATCACACATTTCTACATGCTCCAAATTCATTTCACAATGACAGCACTGTGATCACTTATTCCCGGCATTACTAAAGTAGACTTTACCAGATCTGGCTCGCTTCAAAAAAGAAAAGGTGAAGAACATGGCCCCCTCTAGTGGGTTCTAGCACAGTTCGAGTCAGCGAGAACCAATTCACAAAATTTGCCATTACTGCAGTTAGCTAACTGCAGTAATGGCAACCCATGGACTAGTCCACGGGTCGCCCTAGAAAATACTTTTTACTGGTGCCAGTTTAACAGGGCAGATTGAAATCACCTCCTATAGCAATCATACTATCACATTTAATTGTTTAGGCCATCACTGTGAATTTTGATAATAAAACAACAGAACTTGCAGGCAGCTGGTAAAAAGAACACACCGACAGGGTTTTACTATTGGGAAGTCTCAACTGGCACCATACTGCTTCGCACGAGCCCTCGTCGGCTTCAATTTTACTCGAAGAAATGTGCTGGTCTACATGGATAAACACACATCCACTACGACTATTTTTGTCTTTCCTGGATCAGGAAACACCTCACGATCTGTTACCACTTCAGCTAGCCACGATTCTGTGCCAACGATAACCAATGGTTTAACTGTATTCATGAGGCTAGAAAAATCATCAACCTCGCTTTTAATGCTATGACTATAAATTACAAGAAAAGTGATGGTGGTAGGCGAGTCACGGCATGGTCGCTTGAACTCCACTAACTGGTTGATGTCGTCATCATAAAGGTACTTTAAGTCATTACGATAAAAAGCATCGTTCCTAAGGTATCATCATTCCTATGACTCTAAAGAAAGTCCCACAAATGATATCCTTTGTTGCATTTCACTTCAGAGAAATATTCAGATATCCTGATGCCGGACCGTCTCCATTTCTTGCCGTTCCCTAGGACGGTCCGTTTCTCTTTAAATGAAGTAAAGCTTGCAATTGGGGGTCGATTTCTGTCTGGCCAACTTTTCCCTATCTTATGAGCTCTCTCAATTGTTGTCGGTGTTGCGCCAAGCTTCGTTTCACACAGTTCCTGAACAAGCGATTCTGATACCAACCAAGATTCGCAACTGTTTACATCCGTTATATCGTAAAATAAAAGATTACACTGCTGCAATTCTCGAGGTCATCAATCTTTGAAACGAGGGGCTGCATGACATTTTGTTGGTTTCCGCAGCTCTTTTTTCACACTGTCACAACTGCCTTTAAATTTGTAAGAGTTGCCTCCCGAGTTTCTAAGAATAAAGGTCGCGTCTTTAGGTCGTCTAGACTCTAGAGTGACGCGTTACTACTGTTACCACCTCGTAACGGTAGAATCGGGCAATGGACATTGTTCTGTTCATAGGAGTGGGTTGTGTTGAACAACATAGCTCTAAGTTTTTTTTGTTTTTTTTACTTATTGTAATGTTTTTAGACTAATTACAGGGGTAAATTGCATTAATAAGTCATTCTTGCCCCACACCAAAAATTTTGCAGATTTTAGCAGTTTCTTAGATTCCTGTCGCGTTTTTTTTTTTTTTTTTTTGAGTTGGCAACACTGGCCTTCAAGCAGAAGTCTTTGCAAAATCTGTACTTTTTTTGGCTGTCCGGCAACATAGGGAGCCGCGACACCCATTGGAAAGGTGATTTTACATTCCCTCAATTCAGAAGTAAGATGACAGAGTTTAGTTTTTCCTTGCAAACACTTTGTTGGAGCAAAGCGGCACTTAAAAAGTTGGTTCTGGAGGTTTTTTATACGCTATCTTATACGAATATTGAACAGGGAATCGAAAATACTTTACTGGAAATTTCGTTGAAGCGGCATTCGCTCCAGCAGGATTCGGCTGTAGCGCCGACTGAGGCCAACAAACAGAGACCGGCCCAACTCACCGGAGTCTCCCACAGCCGCTGGAGCGTTTGTCGGGCCGCCTTTCGGCCTGCACCCGGCGTCGCTGACCCTGTTGGGCTTGCCACAGGCAGGAGTCTGCATGGAATCCCCCAGGGCGGGAAAGTCCTCCTCTCCCATGGAGCACACTTGTCCGCCCACCAAAGCTGCATTCGACGGAACAGCCAATCATAATTCGATACTTCTGGAGTATGATACAGTAAACTTTCGTTAATTCGACCTCGACGGGACCTTAAACTTTTGGTTGAATTATCCGAATGATTGAATTAAAAAGAGGTCAGAAAAACGGTTAAAATTAAACTTCCTTTTATTGTCCAAAGTACTCACGGATGGTCTGCTGTCGAAACGCATCTCCAAAAGCATGCTCCAGAGAGCAACGTAAATAAAAGTCACGTCACCAGAAAATCGCGCACAACAAAGAAAAAAAAAGAAAAAAAAGACGAAAAAAGAAAGCTTTACAAGCTGACTTTGGCGCCAAGCAGCCAGACCATCGGCGACAGAGAAAAATAACAAAAAAAAAAGGAAAAGAGAACCTGCGCTTTCCGGGTGCAAGATGGACCGCACACGATGCTACAGAAAAGCGCTTTGAGAGCGTGCACTGAGAAAGCTTTACGAGCAGACTTTGGCACTAAGCGGCCAGACCATCAAAAAAAAAAAAAGTAAAAAGAGAACTTGTGTCTTCTGGCGCGCAAAATGAACCGCACACAATGCTACCAAAAAAAAAAAAAAGCGCTTTGAGAGCGCGCATGCTGTCTCCCTGCCCGACCACGTGCTATGTTCTCTGCGCTACTCCATGCCAGATTGGTTGCGCTGGCTTGTGTCATTCGCTACGGTCCATCTCAATGGCGTAAAAGAGCAGGCGCATATTTGCGCAAGTTCGCCTTTGCAGCAAAGGGCCCGTGTTTCACCGTACAATGGTGGTTTTTCTGCCGGGGTGCCGTGGAATGTGAGCCCGTGAGCATTCGCTCGGGACGAATTATCTGATGCAGAGTCTTCTTGAGTTCGATCTATCGAACTTTTCCTCCGATAGAAATGTATGGGCGCTCGCCAGGACTTTTGAACACAATCGATTTAAACGAAAAGTCGAATCAACCGAGGTCGAACTAACGAAAGTTTACTGTACTATATTCTCGGCTAAGCGTCACACCTGTTTATCTACTTTGCCAGAAAGAGTGAGATCCAGTCACTATGATTTACGGAAGAGAGACCTAAAAAGACAAGGGGCTCGTTCTACGGCACTAAGAAAGATAAGGTGGGCCTTGTCTTTACCCTGCCAAACTCATGTCAGAGAAGCAGCGAGTTGGTTACTATTGAATCACAAAGGCAGTGCCAAATTGGCAAGCTAGCTCATAGTCATGAAGGTACCACCAAAGAAAGAAGATGCAACGAGATTATTACGAGAAATATGGCCCACGAAATTAACTTAAGAGATGCCCATTCAATCTCTATAAAATTTATAGGGTATGACAAGGGGTATATCCCAAAATTCCCGGCATTTACAGGAACAGTGCGCTAGATTACCACCACTTTCGGAGTTCTTTTTGTCTCCTTCCAAGCACCAGATAGCCCACGTAAAATTGACGGAAAATGTAGTAAAACTAAGGACTGGGCCAACTTCACTGTGCAATAAAAAAACCTTGGAAAAAAAATGCTCTTTTTAGATCATGTGATTCGCCAAACTTATTTCAGCAAGAGCAATGAAGGAAACATGACTGCACTTCCCAGTCAGCAATGTTCGCCTATCTCGCGCCGTGGCTAACTAACCCCATCTTCACCGATGTCACCATTGGCTAGGACACTACATCGACTAGAAATGGACCATCGTTCTGCATTTAAAAATAAAATAGAAAATTGTGCCAAAAACAAGCGTGGGTCACCTTTTGAGGGCGGGGCATCTCTCGGCACATTACAATAATACCGTCGGAAGTTTATACGGCAACCCCGAACCTTTCCCCTCCCTTAGAAGTACCTTAAAATCTCTGGTTTAGCCCTACTTCTTAGCACCTCACGCATTTTTCCCTTGACCTTGCCCACTGCAAGTGCATCTTTATTGTGGAGAACAAGAGGTTACAGGGCACTAAGTTGGCGAAATATCAGGGGTGGAGGAGGTTCACTGCCAGGATATTTTAAGTCAAACAACCCACAAGTGGTGTGTGGGCTCGCACGCCAGTCTTGAGTGCGCCGCCTCGTTAGAAATGTAGACTTTGGACACACAAGGACCTCAGTGCAATAATGCTGGTTCATCACTGCACCCCTGGGAGTGCCCTACCCACAAACAATCCCTTTCGTATCAAACAGGCCAATCAATGTGCTCTCGCATCTAGAAATGAAAGATGTAAAAAGCAATGTCTGCATGCAAAACAAAACAAGCTGATTAAAATTGTATATGGTGCAGCACTGTTTCTTCGATTGCTTGCGAGACTTTTGAAAAGAATAGAAGCATCTGAAGACGTCTAAATACTAAATAGTGAGAAATAAATAGAGCCACAGTAAAAACGGGAAGGTAAGAGAAGCCATCGACGCTTAGCATAGACCGAACAGAAACAACTGCACTTACTTGTCTTGTAGCTTCCAATATTACGTACAACAGCGGGCCCCTGAAAAGAGAGATTAAAAGAGTTTCACCACCCACCAACATCCAATAACTCCACAAAAGTCGACACTGGTGAGGCGCGAGGGCAGTAAACGGGAGCACTTGACAGCGCAAGGAACAACCGTAATGTCCAGGGCAGGACAATCACTGTAAGCAGGTACATAGCGCGACTTGCCGCAATAAACCTCCACCGTGATGCAAACCGTGTTCGTCGCACTAATGGATTTGTTGCATGAAAGCTGAAAGAGCGGGGAGCTAGTTTGTCCCAGGGAGCACCTGTACATTATAAAACCCACAAGAACAGAAGCAGGCTGGTTCCCACAATGATGTTCACCATAATGGTCGAGAAAATGTCATTATATTACTCAGCCACAGTATAAAGCGCAAAGCAGACTACACAACGCAAACTGCAAGGTGAAAAGCCGTAACCCCCAACAATGCACACGTTGCAATCAAGTCGCATGACGCTCAGTGTCCCCAGGTCTCGCTAAAAAGTCACAAATCTCTGTACTATTAAGCGAGTTTTTGTTAGGAGAGTTTTTGTTACTATACTGTTGCAACCAACCTCGCAGAAATTATTTTGCCTTTCTTGAAAAGCACAGGCATCCCGCAATTCGCAACTTGTTGTTTGCTCCAATGCAATCCTGACACGGAAGCTCCGTGAGGCATCCCGAGAAAAATTATCAGTCTACCCCGGACGTGTTACGTTGGCCAGATGCAAAATGTAGCAATACCCAGCGGTGGTCTTGTCAGTCACAGGATCGGAAACAACTTTTGAAGCCCATTTGTATTGAAAGAAAAAAATTTCCCATTTTGAAACAGCTCTGAAGCAGCATGAAAATAATTCTTGCAGCAGTTCAGAGTGCTTTCCTAATGACGGTAGCGGCATGCGGTCGCCTAATCACTACTTCACAATATGCTTTCGCAGTCATACTGCACAGTTCATATAACCCCGCTACAACTGTTAAAAAAATGCCACAATAAATAGCATGCTTATCTCACAAAGCTGGTGAATTCTTACGAGAATATTATTTTCTGTTTGTTCCCATTAGTACTAGTGAACAAAAGTCAGTAGGCTTCACAGAAGGCCGACATTAGGAAGTCTTCGCTGCAGTGAAGAAGCTGCCACCGGGCACGCACGCTGCTAGCTTCGTCTGCATAGATGACGTAGTGCAGTGGTTCTCAAATGGAGTTCCGCCGGGGTCCGCGAAGCCTTCACCTCAAATCTACCTGGTCAGGTCACGGGGTAAATTTCATTAAAAAGTGTGGCAGATACGCGAGACTGTGTAGGCGTGGCTGATGCCAGATGTTATCAGTTTGCTTTCTTTGTTCTCTTCCCTTCATCCTTTTGTGCTTATTTCTCCTTTTGCAGAGCAGTAAAATTTCCGTTGCAAGTCAGCACCCTGTATGTGTGTTTCTTTGTCCTGGTCCTACGTCTTTAAGCGCTGTTCCCACCAAAGAAGAGAGCAACATCAAGACCAAAGAAGCATTAAGACGGAGGGAGGGCGGGGGCAGGACGGGTTTTTAAGGGACGATACAGTTGAGAATAAATAAAAGCCCCTGATCCGGGTCCTGTCCCTTGGTTGTGGCCAGTTTATATTTATTAATTATTATCGTTACTTAAGAAATTCACATTAGACAATTGTCCTGTTCATTTTTTTTTTTTAATCTGCTTCAAGTCTGTTATGCTCATGCGGGAGCGGACAGGGGAACAGTTATTTTAGAGCGCAGCTGTTAGGCGCCTGTATCCGGGTTGAGTAACGTCGGCGTCGGTGTAACCATGCGTTGCATAGTGAGACGTTTCCCATAATGACGTCACACGTGACATCGCGAAGGTAAAATTGGGTCACGAGGGTCACAAGGGTACCCACATGACGACACGTGACGTCACGAGGGTAAAATTTTCCCGCTAAATTTGGTGGGAAAATGTTTCATTAAATTTAGCGGGCAAATTTTGTCACTAAATGAAGTGGAAAAATTTTCCGCCAAATTTAGCGGAAACATTTTCCGACAAATTCAGTGAAAATTTTTTTACAAAATATAGATGGAAAGCTTTGCCTTCGTGCCATCACGTGTAACGTCACGAAAGTAAAATTTTCCCGCTACATTTGGCAGAATTTTTTGCTAAATTTACCAGAAATTTTTTTTTTAAATTTAGCTGGGAAATTGACGTTATGTGACCTCAACGCAAATTCGGTTTCCCCGCTAAACTTAGCAGGAAAGTTTTCGCTAAATTTAGCGGGCAAATTATTGCTTAATTTAGCGAATTTCCCATAAATGGGAGGGGAGAGGAAGAGGATGAGGGGAGGGTATGGAGGGAAAGGAGGGGCATACCCTCCCCTCCTCCTCAAGAGCTGCACTTTGTAATTCGGCATTCCAGAGAATTGCAAACGCCTTTCATTTTTTTTCAGTCTTTTATGTGTAATCCCCTCACCAAAATCTGTCTATAACAGAAGAGGAAGCCGCATTGTAGAAAATTTTGTCACGTCTTTCTTAGTTTTCTTTTGACAAGCAGTTTTCATCTGCCCTGCACCAGTTGTGTTTCTACACGTAAAAGAAAGGATTGTGGCCAGCCAATCTTTTCGGCAGTACCCAAGAAAGTGTTCAAGATTTATCTATCTGTCTGTGCGTTGATGCTCGTGTTGTTTCCGAGACTTGGCCTAGGCTGGGCCTAGTGGTCCAAAGCTTGCTTCACAAGTGTCTGGCATGTTAAACTTTTGTTCGCTCAGCATGTGTACTCTCGAATAAAGCAGACTAGCTTCTCATTTTGCATGTTTTACGTCCTTTTGCTGCGAAACACTCGATTGCCCTCGCCAGGCAGTGCCGTGCTATGGGCATTTCTCGCGAGCTGAAACATCAAAGTTATTGCGCGTCAAACGGTACATGCGAACTAGCTGATTGCGGGAAACTTTGATTTCACAGTACCGATGTGCGTAAAAAGAAAAAATTCATCGCATGAACCATGCAAAGCAGTGCGACTGATACAAAAGTGTGACTTATATGCCAACTTTTCTGCAATAATGGCTCAATATAAGAAAGTGTGACTTATAGTCTGGAAGACACAGTACCGTAAAAACCCGCATATAATATGAACCTGCGTATAATACGAAGCATAATTTGAGGAACGCAAAGAAAAAAAAAAGTTTTATCCGCATATAATACAAAACAATTTAAGGACCGCGAAAATTTTACGCGTAAAATGCAACCCAGGTAGTCTTACGAAAAACATATATTTGCGTCGTAATCAAACCTTAATCACTGTCATCAATTCCATCGGACTCCTCCCTTGTCCGATGCCTCCTCCCAAAGGCAGTCGTTGTCAGTGCCGTCGAGCACATTTGAAATCCCACACTCCTTGAAAGAGCGAGCGACGGGCGTGAGCAGACGCAGTGAAAGCCCGCCAAAGTTCTCTCGTCTTCTCTTGCAGCAGCTCGATGTTTACGGCGAGGTGCTGTTCACGTTGCTCTTGTACAAAGTCGCCAAGACTTGCCTCGACGTCGGCGAACACGCCATTCTTTGGGCCTCTAAGCTTCTCCTTTTTCCGTTGCATGCGAACAGAGCTTGCTTTTGTCGTCTCCATCCGCGGATGCTGCTTGCATTTACGGCGAATTGTCGTCCGGCAGCATGGTTGCCAATGTCTTCTGCAACCAAAACTATAGACCTTTCCAGCGGCAGTCTCGAACGAAGCCATTTACAGCGCGCGTCCCTCATTTCAAGTGTACGCCAGTGTTGCCCGACTGCGCTGAGCTGTGGGTTTTCTAGTCAGTAAGCTATGGCAGCCTGCATATGTGCAGTTTCGGACGCTAGTGGTGGCTAAATAGCCGCGTTTTAATTTTTCTTTTGTGTTCAATGGTGAATCAAATTCCTCCTGGTTTTTAAAAAAAGCATTCTACTATTTTTGGGAACAAAAACAAAGAAACGAAAGCTGTTTCGGTGAGTCGGTGCACGACAGAACAAATGCAACTTGGATGTCTGTTTCATATTATGTTGATCTTTCTACTGCACCATACACTCAGCCGTGTCAATCTATAAAGGTCTTAACCGTCGAAAATATTTGACCACACAGGATATCCAACTGGATGGATATTCCCAGCTCACAGCATGAAATTCAACGAGTCTCATCAATCAAACAACATATATTGTACGTACCCCACGGTGCCACATTATCCAAACAGGATTTGAGAAAGGCCTCAAATAACACAGCATATCCAATATACAGTGTCGACGATAGTCACTTCACGACGATCGGACGGAATCCGGCGTGTTTTGGGGCACGTTTTAAAGAGAGCTGGCTTTTTGCACAGCTTCAAAGCAAATGAACGGACGTGTCTATTCCATCCCCCTCTCCCCGTAACCGACCCTATCAGCTATTTTTCGTGAAACCCGGAACATAGCCGGGAAGGCTTTTTGGAGATTATCTTAACGAAAATAATCCTCCAAGAACGTTGAACTGCCTGCGCCGTGTGCTGCTTGTTGTTCGCTCTCTTCGTTTGTTTCCTGCGAAGGCCGTTCAGGCAACAAGCCCTAGTACAGTTAAACCTGGATATAACGAAATTGATAAAATTTTTCAATAATTCGTTATATGGAGGATTTCGTTACATGCAGTTTTCGCGGAAAAACTCGTAAAGGACACGTGGAAAGAAAGCAAAATTAAAAATCCACGTGGGCAAACTCACCATGTCATTTATTTATAGAGGAAAAGAAGTCGGTGAGCTTGCCTTGTGTCTTCCGCACGAGCGAAGGCAGCACGCAGCGCTCAAAAGACACCAACGCGTTTAGAGCGCTGTCGTCGTCCTGAGAGCCGGCGACCCGGCGTAATATATCGATGGCATCTAAGACCTCCCTCGCGGTAGGCACCACAGGCGGTTCAGTAGTTTCAGGTGATTCGTCATCGTCGTCGACGTCTCGTCTGCTCTCGACCACGGCTTGGTCGGATACTTCCTCGGTAGACACGGCACAGTTGTCCGCGTATGAGAAGTCACTCAGCTGGACACCGTCAGGAACCCCTCCGTTCGTGCACAGCGCACTCCAATCTTTAGCGAGATCGGGAAGGCTTGACGGCTCCTCGTCACCGTCGTCGGTCGTGACACACATGTCCTTGACTATCTGGGCATTCCTAAAGCAATTGACGATGGTCTGCGTTTTTACTTCCTGCCAAGACGCCGCAAGCATCTCAATTGCTCGGAAGATGTCAGTCTTAGTCTCCCGGTGGAGGCGGATGTTCAGGAGCAGTTGCGCAATCAGCCGACGTCGGTAGGCGCACTTTACGCTGTTGATAACACCTTTGTCAAGAGGCTGAACCAATGACGTGCAGTTGGCCGGAAAATACTGCAACTCAATGTTCGATAACACGAGGCCTTCCACATGGTGTGCTGAACAGTTGTCTAAAAATAAACACACCTGGCGGCCCTGCTTCCTCACCGCTTCGTTGAGCTCGTTTAGCCACTCACGGAAAATGTCCCGTGTCATCCACGCTTTCGAGTTCGCCACATACTTCACAGGCATTCTTTTCGTTCCTTTAAAGCACCTGGGCCGGGCACTCCTTCCAATAACGAGCGGCACGCGCTTGTCAGATCCGTCACTGTTCGTGCAAAGCAAAACCGTCACTCGGAGTTTGCTTTGTTTGCCTCCATGACAGCGGCCTCCCTTTAACGTGAGCGTGTGGCTCGGAAGTATCTGGAAAAAGAGCGCCGTCTCTTCGGCGTTGTACAGATCCTCCGCTTCGTAACGATCCAAGATCTTCGGTAGCTCGTTATTCACCCAAGAAGAAGCACCATCTCAGTCCGCGGATGCAGATTCTCCGCTGATAACTTTCCCGACGATTCCGTGTCGACTTTTAAATCCTTGTAACCAGCCGTTACTTGCCATGAAATCATCGTGGCCTAAAATGCACGCATAATCCCCGTCTTTTTGCTGCAGTACTGCAACACTAATAGGAATGTTTTGTGCACGCATGTCTAGGAACCACGTGAATACCGCTTTGTCCACGTCTGCGTAGGTTGACGACTTCAGCTTTTTCTTCTTGGAGCTTGTGCCGGCTTTCATTGCATTCCGGATTGAGTCTTTTGAGGCCAAAATTGTTGACAGGGAGCTCGCTGGGATGCCAAAACGGGCTGCAACATCCTTTTTTCTTTCACCCTCAGACACCGCATTCAGGATAGCGGCTTTGTCTTCAAGAGACAGAACTTTCCGTTTCTTAGTAGCGGAGCTCATGCTTCAGGCGGCACGTTGACGGAACGATGCTGTGACTCCCTAACTGACTTCACTTGTCCCCGGGAAAAAATATCCAAGAGATCCCTAGATTCCCTAGATCGATTGTACCGTCGCCTGGTCGGCCTGGTGCCTACTGGTGTCGAACTGTGACAGCGGCGAGCAACACGACTGTCGGCGTCAACTTTCGGGACCGCTGGTTTCGCTTGTAGCTGTTTGTTTTGTGTTCCTCTCTGCCCAGTGTTTGCTACGTCTTGTGAGTCGCAGCTTATTGGCGGGAGTTTTTGTGGGACGGCGAGACATTTGCGGACATGTCGATGTGTGCTCGTGAAACAACGATAAAATCGGACGCTGTCGGCTGCTCCTCGTGTCCCTAATCGCATCGCAGAATTGTGGCAAGTAAAGTCGGGCGTTTATTCGTGGTGACTTTTGTGTAGCGACGTCAAAAGACTGCTGGCAGTAGTTGCACGAGAGGCTGGGGGTCTGGCGGCGCCGGGAAAGCGCAACGGCGTGCCTATGCCTACACTCTGCCGTTCCCGCTCGCTGCCATTACCGACGTCTTTTGGTCGGCTGCCCGCCTTTGGTGGCAATTGGACGAGAATATATTTGCATTTTAGGTAACTTAAAATAAGCAACGATAAAAAAAAAAAATGGAGATTGCGGCGGAGCGAGTTTGTTAAATCAAGGTTATCCATCGCGAGCGCTTCATTACATGGAGTTCACAAATACAAGCGGTTCTATGAAGATCGCGTCGGGGAATTGAAAAAGTTTGTTAAATAGAGGATTTCGTTGTATACAGGTTCGTTACATCCAGGTTTAGCTGTATTCCCAGGTTTTCACAGTGAAAGATAACACACAAGGGGTAAGCATACTAAACAGGCAAATAAAGTAAAAACTTCCAAGAAAAGCCGGCAAACTCCGAATGCACAATGCAGGTGGGGAGTCACGCTGACCGGGTTTCCACAGCTCAGGCGGATGGCAGATATTCCTGGGTGATAGGGGTCGCTCGGTTCACAAAATGGCGGCGGCCAGAGAGCTCTCTTTGCAAAAGTGTATAGGGTGGTCCAAGACACCAGGCTCGATCTAAAATGGACTGTAAAAATTGACGCCTGCACGTAGCAATCTAAACTTTTCGTCAAAGGTGTATTTCACAGGTTGGTTTTTTCTTGTAAAATTACAATGCGTAGTTCTCTTTCTGTGAAAAATAAGGCCTAAAAACTTGCCAGGGTCCGGCGACAAAGGCAGACGACAGGGGTTCAGTAGCAGGGTGTGTTTGGCGTTCGTATTGATAGATGGCACTACCTCCTTATCGCGACCGACGGCTCGCAACCACCGTGGTTAATAAAAATGAACACAATCTATTTTGAAATGTACCTTCGGTTAAAAAATAAATGCACACAATAAAAGCAAAACTAGTAAAAAACGCGCCTGCATAACGGCGGCGCTTTTGCTGCCAACGGATTTCGTCTGCCTGCGTCTGCACCTTCAGACGCTGCTCCCGACACCAACTATTAATACGAACGCCAAACACACCCCCACTACTGAACCCCTGTCATCTGCGTCGCTGCCCGCCGTAGACCCTGGCAAGTTTCTTGGCCTTGTTTTTTTACAGAAAGAGAACTACGCTTTGTAATTTTACAAGAAAAAACCGACCTGTGAATTACACCTTTGACGAAAAGTTTAGATTGCTACGTGCAGGCGTTGATTTTTACGGTCCATTTTAGATCGAGCCTGGTGACTTGGACCACCCTATACTTTTCTTTTGAAGGCGGCCAAGCATTGTTTTTGTGCCGACGCCATTGCCTAGCCTGACCGTGGAGGCATGGTGGCGCCTCGGACATTGTGATTTTATATTGACGACAGCTGTTTTGTTTGCCATATTGCTTCGAAACCAAAACTAAGTCAAGCTGCGTTAGATCGCGCCTCACCAAAGCTGAAAATTGTTGGGACCCATGTATAATACGAACCGCAAATTTTACAAGGCAAAATTTGAAAGAAAAAAAAAAAAAAAGAAACTCGTATTATATGTGGGTTTTTACAGTACTCACAATATTTGCTCTCGTTTTAAAGTGAGAGAGACTCCGACCGAAGTCTCTGTCAATTACTTCAAAACCGTAAAAAAATACCGATACTTGCCTTCTGCTCTCCATAGTAGTCTTCAACGCGCCTCGTTTCCCTGGGGAGAGGACTCGCGGCAGAGACGGAGGCAGACAGCTGGTCAACGCTGGGGGACGGGTGGTACTGCCTGTTGACCAGGCGTGATGGTTTCTGGAAGGGAAAAAGCATGCCAGGTTATTGATGCGAAAGCCTTATATGGTCTCACCCACTGATCTCTATGTCTATTTGCTGGATCGCGTTTGACCAGCTCCTCCTATGGACCGGAATGCGGTCACTGGCGACCATCTTTAGGTAGAGCTATATCATCTCTAGCCATCATAGTAATATGGCGGACAGCGCAATGGCGGCAGGCTGCCATAAAAATAGCCGTAGATCTAGTACACTGTACCGTGGGTGACATTTCGTGCTTGATTGAAGTTGTTCGACAAAGCAGATTCTTGAAACCCGGCGTGAACGGTAGCCTCATCTTTGAGGACCCGGCAAAAGTTCTACGAAAGCGCAGCACCGGGGGAAAGCAATGCAGCTCGCATCAAGAGCAGACTCCGTACCGTCGTCTGCTTTCGATGCTTCTTTCGATGCGACTTTCGATACGTACTGTGCTGCTTTTCTCCCGGTGCAGCGATTTCGTGAAACTTACCAGGTCCTCAAAAACCGGACTACTGTTCACGCCGGGTTTCAAAAACATGTTTCGTCAAATAATTTTAATCAAGCACGCAATATCATCCACGCTATTTTGACCGCAGCCTGCCAACCCACCTGCCAAAACGCTATCTGCCATGGATGAATGATAGCGGCTGCAGCAGCTTACATTGGCTAGAGGTGATATAACTCTACCTAAAGATGGCCGCCAGTGACCGCATTCGCGGAGCGGGCAAACGCGATCCAGCAATTGTCATAGAGATCAGTGGGTCTCATCATTCAGTCGACCTTTGAACTTGAGCGAAAACAGGTCGACGACACCTTACCAAAATGTTTACCTGACCACTCAGGCGAATTAGAGGCAATGAAACAAAGAAAAATGACAAACCAAATTAAGAGGATGAATAAGCGAACTAAAAGTAATTAATGAGAAGAGTAATCAAAGCTAATTAAGAAGGACGACAAAGCTAATTTAGAGGAATTAAAGTGAATTAAAAAGAATTAAAGCAAAATAAGTGGGTGATTAAGCGAATTAAGTGGGTGATTAAGCGAATTAAGTGGATGACCAAACAAATTAAGATGACTAAGCTGACTAAGCAGACTAAGCAGACTAAGCTGAATAAGCAGACTAAGCTGAATAAGCAGACTAAGCTGAATAAGCAAACTAAGCAGACTAAGCTGAATAAGCAAACTAAGCTGAATAAGCAAACTAAGCTGAATAAGCAAACTAAGCTGAATAAGCAAACTAAGCTGAATAAGCAAACTAAGCTGACTAAGCAAACAAGAAACCTAAGCTGACTAAGCAAACAAGAAACCTAAGCTGACTAAGCAAACAAGAAACCTAAGCTGACTAAGCAAGCTAAGAAAATTAAGCTGACTAAGCAAGCTAAGAAAATTAAGCTGACTAAGCAAGCTAAGAAAATTAAGCTGACTAAGCAAACTAAGAAAATTAAGCTGACTAAGCAAACTAAGAAAATTAAGCTGACTAAGCAAACTAAGAAAATTAAGCTGACTAAGCAAACTAAGAAAATTAAGCTGACTAAGCAAACTAAGAAAATTAAGCTGACTAAGCAAACTAAGAAAATTAAGCTGACTAAGCAAACTAAGAAAATTAAGAGCGATGACTGGGCGCATTGGGGGGGGGGTGACTCGGCGCATTGGGGGGGTTGGCTCGGCGCATTGGGGGGGGTTGGCTCGGCGCATTGGGGGGGGTTGGCTCGGCGCATTGGGGGGGGTTGGCTCGGCGCATTGGGGGGGGGTTGGCTCGGCGCATTGGGGGGGGTTGGCTCGGCGCATTGGGGGGGATGGCTCGGCGCATTGAGGGGGACGACTCGGCGCATTGAGGGGGACGACTCGGCGCATTGAGGGGGACGACTCGGCGCATTGAGGGGGACGACTCGGCGCATTGAGGGGGACTCGGCGCATTGAGGGGGACGACTCGGCGCATTGAGGGGGACGACTCGGCGCATTGAGGGGGACGACCCGGCGCATTGAGGGGGACGACCCGGCGCATTGAGGGGGACGACCCGGCGCATTGAGGGGGACGACCCGGCGCATTGAGGGGGACGACCCGGCGCATTGAGGGGGACGACCCGGCGCATTGAGGGGGACGACCCGGCGCATTGAGGGGGACGACCCGGCGCATTGAGGGGGACGACCCGGCGCATTGAGGGGGACGACCTGGCGCATTGAGGGGGACGACCCGGCGCATTGAGGGGGACGACCCGGCGCATTGAGGGGGACGACCCGGCGCATTGAGGGGGACGACCCGGCGCATTGAGGGGGACGACCCGGCGCATTGAGGGGGACGACCCGGCGCATTGAGGGGGACGACCCGGCGCATTGAGGGGGACGACCCGGCGCATTGAGGGGGACGACCCGGCGCATTGAGGGGGACGACCCGGCGCATTGAGGGGGACGACCCGGGGACGACCAAGCTAAACGCTCTCATTGTTGCCAATCGAGTGGATAAAAACCCGAAACCAAGAAAAACAAAAAAATTTTGGCGCACGTTTTGCGATTTTGTGCATAATGGCGCGAGGTATTGGCTGTGGCGCAGTTTCCGCAAAATGGCGCAGGATGGCGCAGACAAACGAGTCTGGCACAAAATGGCGCAAATGGCGCAGCCGTTCCACCCCTGACAAGGCCATTCCGCATCATTAAACTGTCCTATTTTGGTACATCCCCCCGTCCTGTCCCAAGCTCAATGCTGTTTGCCAGGACTTTCATCAACAATATCTTTACGGAAGTGCAGAGAGAGCTAAGTGTGACAGGATGTCAAGTAGCACCTCAACTCGAGGCGGTGGTCCGCGACATACTGGAAAGACACCTGCTTAATAATCTAAATGGTCCAAGCTCAATTCCCACCCGGTGCAAACACTCTTTTACTGCAATGGCCTCTTTCCCCCCATTCAAAGCCAAACACGGTCGAGCCTCGCAGCCACGCTTTTATGTGGGCTTCACTTTCGGGCTTAATGAAATGCTGAACACCTGGCCAAGGAAAGTTTCCCATTATAAACTGTCGCGACAGCATAGTCAAACACGTGAGAAGGACTATGCACACACAATTCTAACAAAGACACAGGCACGAGCTTGTACCTTTTTCAAATGCATCAACTGCACAGACATTGCATTGAAAGAATTCCCACCAAAGAGTTTTCCATAAAGGGAGCCTCTCTGTCACAGCAACAGTCTTTCCGACATTCAGGTGTACAGGCGATGGTGCAAAGACTGTTTCTCTCGTTCTCGGTCTCCTTCAAAGAATATAAAAATACCGTAGTCCCTCGCTACAATAGAATTGCTTTATTTGAACTATCACTTCATTCGAAGTTCAACGCAGTTCCGACCGAAATGTAGTATATGCTCTCGACCAAATTATCCTAAGTGCATCGACGGCCGGCGAGGCTTATTACTAGGGGCGTGCAAATATTCGAAACTTTGAATACTTCACGAATAATGCTTGCTATCCGATTCAATTCACTTCACACTTTCGCTGTTGGAAGTATTAGAGTTTTTCTAATACTACGGAAACTATGAATAATGCGGAACTCGCCGATTAGTGTCAACTCACGGTCGAGCTCCCCGTCTTGTTTTTGGACTGCACAATAGGGTTTCGAGCTTGGCAAATCCAAAAAGCTAACCCAAGTTCCTTTTTTTTTAAATGATGCACTGGAAAGGTATTTGCGGTAGCGCGCTCTGTTTTCTGCTTGCCACGATGTCTGGAGTCTTGAGTTGGCGAAGTGATCGTGACGCAAACGCTGCAATAGATTTGACGAAGCTTGCAACGGACGCCGCTTGGGCACGGACGCCGCTTGATCGCCCTCTTACTTCACCAGCACGATCAACTTTTGTTGAAAGAAAGCCTCGTAATGAAAGCGCTTTTACTTTTCCATTTTTCAAATTGTAGCTTGAGAGAAACTGACAAAATGGCAAATGCCAAAAAAAGAAAACATGCGACGATGTGCGAAGTGGATTGGACTCACAGAGCTGGTAAAGGCACAGTGTGTCCATGGCAATGCGATTAGCCATCTTTTGTCGAGTGTTTTCCACTTCTTTTTTTTTTTACTTTGTTTTTGGGTTTGACAGTAAGACAAAACAATTTTTAGGACAATTTAAAAAAAAAAAAAAAATGTGCGTTAGAATTGTGCAAATATGATATGTTGTTCTGAAACATTCGGTATTTCGAAATTCATCCTACCAAAATATTTTTACATTTAAAACATAAAAGATTGAAAGGGGATTTTGGAAATTTTCGTAAATCTGATACAGTCGAACCTCGATATAACGAACTTCAATGTAACGAAATCTTCGATTTAACGAAGTATTTTATTTTTCATAATTTCTTGCCCATAGACCCCATGTATTTTTAGTCTCTATATAACGAAGTCTAAGTCTATAACGAAGTGCCATTGCCATAGAAGGCAATAAATAAATCAACTCTAAAAAACAACTTCGCAAAAAAATTGTGGTTAAAAAAAAAAAAATTATGCGCAAACGCGAGCGCTTGATAGGTTACTTCACGGGGACAGGCCTTCCAACGTTCCCAGGCTGCCCGAGGATGCGGCGCCGGTAGCGCCGGCGAGGCATGCGGCAAAGCGGATTCCGCGAGGCTGGCCAGAAAATGCCGAGCAAAAAGTTAACACGGCATACCAGCATCACCACTGACATTCACTGATAACCATAGTCCACTCCACTGCACCGCGGGTAGCGCGGGAGCCAACTTCAGCGGGGGAGCGACATGATGGCGCGACCGCACGGGCAGTGCCATCTAGGAGAAGACCGAAAAGACCGATTATCGTCTTGCGAGCGTGGGCGCAAGCGGCGCAAGCATCACTGTGGGCGCAAGGGTGGCAAGGGGGCAAGTAAACTGTGCGGTGAAGAGTGCTGTGTAGGTTGGAAACATTGGCACCGCCTAAACTGCCTAAACTAAACAGCTTTATTTTTTAACCGGGCGGTTCACTTACGTGCTTGCTGCCATAAGGAAACGTAAAGTTCTTTCTTTGGATGAGAAAGCAAACGTTTTGGACGCCATCCTGAAGAAACTGCCGAGATCACGAGCACTCGGGAAGTGCTCGACGCAATGGACGTACTGAGGAGGTACACGGCGTCGCATGGGCAGCAGGATGCCGTGCAAGCGCTCTGGGCGCTCGAACGCCGTATGACGCCGCTGCTACTGTCGGACAAGGCGCAAGCAAAACTCGCGGACTACTTCGCCCCTAAATAAATGTCATTTTCTGTGAGTTTTCATACCCGTAAAATGTTTCGGAATTTTTTTTCGCATGCTAAAGCCAAATTTCGATTTAGCGAAATTTCAATGTAACGAAGTAAATTGCGAATTTTACCGACTTCGTTACATCGAGGTTCAACTGTATATCAGTTGATCAGACATTCTCAGTAACGAGATTTGAGTGTAGTACACATAAAAAAAAAAAAACTTTCAGCCTTTTCACTCTGGTGAAGAAGAAAGTCCAGCGGAGCTGTACTATGGTGGGACAACCTCAAGGACGACTTCTTGGATGCCGCCTAGGGGAGGACGTCTAGGATGACTCTTTGGACGACCTCAAGGACAACGCCTAGAGGACATCTAGGATAACCTCAGGGACAACGTCTAGGATGACCTCAAGGACGACGTCTAGGATGACCTCAAGGACGACGCCTACAACGGCCTCGAGGACGACGCCTACGACGACCTCGAGGAAGACGCCTATGACGACCTCAAGGACGACATCTAGGACAACCTCAAGGACGACGTCTAGGACGACGCCTAGAGAAATTCAGCCTTCCTACTCTGGTGAAAACCAGAGTGGAAAGGTTGGAAAGTTGCCGCCATTTAAAAGCAATGGCAAGAAACAGACAACCGGCAAGCCAGTTGTCTGGTTGCCGCCGTCGTTCCCAGATGGCAGTAGCTGTCCATAGTTTTGTGTTGAGATTTATTTGTCCATGGACACGAAACTGGGGAAACAAGCCCTTAACAGATCCGCAGTAAAAAAATTAATATTACACAATCAAGCTCCAGCTTTTGAATGGTTCATATAAAAGCGGTGCAAAGAGCCATGGAGGTAGAAAGCTACTGGATGCGACATGATGCTGCCAGAGTTGGAGCCACAAATGTGGAGGGATACGTCCTCAACAATGATCAAAACAGCTGTGGTTTTAGTCCCTGGGGGGGGGGGGGGGGGGGGGCATGTCCCTCCACACTCCTGGCTCCACCTCTGGTGACATCATGTCACCTCCGGAAGCTCCCTATTTCCATGCAACGAGCAGACAAAAGTGCAAGACAAAGAGAAGCCGACCCACCAAGTTCAGTTGAGACACCTCGAAAGGCAGGTCTGGATCGTTCTTGGGAGGCAAGTGCCTGTACTCGATGCTCCTGTCGACCTTGTAAGCCTTCAAAAGGGCGTTGGAGAGCTTGTACCTGCCGGCAGAAACATGAACAGTGTCAAAAGGGTCACCGCTAACTGCATTTCAAAAAATTTTGTGCAGTGTGGCACTCAGCTGAGCTCACATCAGAGCACTAGTTTAGCGTATGAATCGCGGGAACAACTTGCGTGTGTTACTACAGCTAAAAATTGATATCGCGCACGCAGATCGCGGACAAAAACACGGGAATCTGCTACGAGCTTGGGAACGGACACCGCAAATCGCAAATGCAGCAGATTCGCATTTCACGACGCAATATACACACGGGAACAACTAGCGTGTTAAGCGAGCCGATATTGCGCGCAGATCGCAGACAAAAACGCGGGAACCCTCTATGAACTTGCTTCGCGGACACACCGGTACCGCTGATCTCGCCGTTGATGTGCAATCGGACATTGCTTGACGTCCAACAGGATGGGCAATCTCTCGGGAGAGGGCGCCCTTACAGAATTTTACGGTAGACATTTCATTTTATGCTTCGATGAACAAATTGCACCAATTATTGGTAGCAGTTCCAATTTTAATGACAATTTGGCATTTCAACGTCGAAGCTGCATATTTTTTGACGACCCCTTCCATTTAATAGCATCCCCCATTTATGTAAATTCTTAGGAGAAAAAAAGGCACCTTATTGATTGGGCATTCTAACGTCGACGCTACTTGCTTTGATGTGTTGCCGGCACAAAACTTGCTCAGCCACTTTTAAGCTGATTTGGTTGCCCAAAGCTATCGCGTCGAGGTCACCCACACGTTGACGTCACCACCTCGTTTCCTGAGTGTGACAGAACATCTAGGCAATCTGTCCCATGGAACGTCGCCTTCCGAGCCGAACCAGGAATACCCACAAGACTCCCATGAACCCTTTGTAACTTGAGCTCAAACGAAGACAAGAACAAATTAATACTCACGCCAGGCGCCTGCTTTCGCCAATAGCACAGTTCTTGTTGTCAATTTCGGCATGGAAGGCACACCTGAAAGATTTAGTTTTTTAAACAAGCAATAAGTGACTAGGTTAATGCCTGTGTGCCGGCAAAACAAAGGGAAAATGCAGAAGCAACAGCGGTGATGAGTTTTTGGGGACATGAGATCAGGCAAAAATGTAAATTTTTAATTATGATCAAACCCATGGGTCATTGTGTAACCAGTTTGAAGCAAAAATCAAATTTGAATAAAAAGTAGTCATCATTTTTGCTCATTACACCTTGGAGAAGAGCTAACGTTGTGTAAACTTTTGCCTAGCACGATTCTCATTAAATCTTTGTTTTACAACAACTAGGGGTGTATTTGGGCCAGTTTATTTGGGCTGTGTTGCATTGAGATAAGCTTTTCAGAGATTTAACATTTAAAGGGACACTCAGATGATATTTGAGCCTCTGCCCTTTTTACGTTATTACCTCATTAGAACCTTGGGTTACTTAACTATTTCCTGACCACGAGAAAAGTAGCAATTTTCAAAGGATCTGGTGCAAACGCTTTTATTTTCCCAAGCAATTTGCGTATGGAGCAATATGACACATCAAAGTGTTGCCAATTAGTTGTTCTTTTAAAAGAAACCAAGGTTGGCATAATGTGGGGAAAGATTGAAAAATTATTTTGTTTGAAAAATACAATGTGCGGAAGGCGTATAAACGCCGACACTTCTACAGCTACTCAAATTAAACAACAAATAAAATTCAGAATATACATAATGTGCCCCACACCCAGGGCTATTACTTCTGAAAGTTAGTGCACTCTAGTTTATGTCTATTTTTGGTTTGTCGAAGAGTTAGCCTTCGTAATACGTGCGCTTTTCAACGAAGGAATGCTTATATTGGTGAAACACAGATGGTACACCTTACACCCCCAGCAGAATGCTTTCTTTCTGTTCTACCTTTATTTCATCATAGCCTTGATTGCAGTTCCTTCATATTTAGCATTTTTGTCCGACTTGTTGGGAACATAAAACAATCACACCGGCTCAGGACATTGTTGGAAATTATAGTGATGTTCACTGACAACCATCTGTGAGCATTGCCTATAACATCATTTAATCTGTCCTCAGAGCTCTCAAGGTGTAAAACATATGCCACAATACGGTTGAATTATGTAAATAATGCAATTTTTGTTACAAAGACTGATGCAAGCAGTTACCCGTGTTATTAGCTTGGGCTAAAGCTCAAACCTAGGTTGAAATTGAAACTACAGTTCTTCAGCTATCCGTGGGATTGGGGAACATCATTCTCTGCTGCACTGATCCACTAATCACCGGTGATCAATGGCCTATGGGAGTGGTCAAGTAAGAAATAAAAAAAAAACACTACTCAAAAAAAAAAAAAAAAAAATTGCAAAAAGTTGATTTTAAAAAATGCCATATGTGATTCATCAACATCTACAGAGTATTCACAAAAGGTTTCATTTGTTTACACAGCATAGTTATTCTTTTATAAATTATTTTCGGTCCACTCATGCTAAAGGAAAGGTAAAGGTTTGAGCACTTTGAACACATTTGTCTCTACTTGATTCTTCAGTGCAATGTTAGCCCAAAATAAATTACTTTTTGGAAACTTTGTTTTCACAGTTGCACACTTCAGGCATTCTACTGCGTACCTAGCGAAGAAAAACGTTGGGCGTCACATTAGTTTTTTAACGATAGTTTTCCTAAACAATGCCAGTGTGTTTCTGATAAAACCACTATAATTAATTTCACACTTCACGTACATACATAAAACTTTGCACTGCATACTGTAAATTTCATTTATATAAAGCCGAAGGTTCAAACTTTGATCCTTTTGGGTAGTGCCCTCCCTTAGTCACTGCATCTGAGAAAGTAGTGCCATTGCCTTCTTGCCAGCTAGCCAGACACAAACAAATACCAACATACAAAGACAAAACCTCCCAAGGTTATCGGCTGATCGATCTCGGTTGCCATGGCGATCGCCATTTTAGGCCTTTCAAACCTTCAAAGCTTCGAAAGGGTCGTTCCAACCAGTCACGGCAAGATCGCCATGGAGCATCATTGTACGGAAAGTGTTCCTCGGCCATTATAAACGTCTTTGGCACTGTGCATGCAATAAACTCATCACTCATGCTCATCCCCCCAGATCTCTTACAATTTTCTTGCATATTTCAAGACAGTAAAATTATTTTTCAATGCCTCAAAGCATTGACGTTGCATGTGATGGCGGCACAAAGAGATACACCATTACATACGGCGTCAATGCTCAGAGGCATCGAAAAACAATTATCCTGTTTTGAAAAACGCAAGAGGAGCAACATAATTGTAAGAGATCTGGAGAGATGAGCACGAGTGATAAGTTTATGCCATGCACAGTGCCAAAGACGCTTATAACGGCCGAGGAACGCTTTCGATACGACGAGGCTCCATAGCGATCTTTGCTGACTGGTTGGAACGACCCTTTCAAAGATTCAAAGATTTGAAAGGCCCAAAATGGCGATTGCCATGGCAACCAGACCCATTTTCACGAGGTGCCTGCCAAAGCTCGATGACGAACCAAAGGTAGAGTTAATTAGAATTCGGGACGACCTCGTGCATGAGCTATGTACAATCTCATGCTAGTCGTTCCCGCTTGGAAGAACAAATGCCAAGCGTTGCTTGTATACGTACGGGGTTCGCCGACCAATTTAAAAAAACAAAACATTGGGATTTTTCTTTTTTTGGCGACATTCGCGAGATGTTTGGGAGATGAAAAATGCTTATTTGCACTTTTTATCCTCAGCAATCGTTTTTTTTTTTTTAAAGCTCTTAAAGGGATACTTTAACGAAATTTGAAATACTGTCGTCGTGTTCAAAAATAGGCTGAATACGATCCACAATATCCATAAATGACAATCGCGTGTTTGTATTTTGATCCTGGTGGCTGTATTTTTCGTTATAAACGGCCTACTCTGGCAAGCGCTCAGAGAACAGCCAGTGGAGAGCATGTGGCATCCAACGCAATCGTGACATAGGTCGTCTCCGGACGAGCAAAGCTGCGGCAAGGCTGACGTCAAGAGGATGGCCTAGTCGTTCCAGCCACCGGAGCGGCTGCTTTTGTACAAATTTTCAGTGACGAGTTAATCTTCCATAATCTTGTAAGGGGACAATAGCGACTTCTGCGACACACAAAAGGCGTTCTCGGGAAGAGGAGAGTTCCTCCTTCCCTTCTTCTCCCGTCGGGGCCGGAGGCGCGACAACCTCCGTCACTAGCTGAAAGGTTCCTAGACGGGCATTACAAGCGAGGCGTTAGCGACATCCAACAGGTGCTCTTTGCTAATCGTTTAATTTGTTTAAAAATTCCTTTTCGAGACTTTTTTAACAAGATATTGGTACGTTCTATGTGATACTGCTCCTTTGAACACATAGGCCAAAAAAATTAGCGCCGAAATTTCGTTGTAGTATCTCTTTAAGACAATGCAGTAAATTCCTCGTCACACCACTGCAATGGACTCTAAACACGTTTGGTCGCAGTCTACTTGGTACAGCGGGCTGTGGCATAATGGACGACAACCGTCGCGTTCGTCGACGGCAACGCGAGGAGCTTTAGCGACGAGACGATGACGTGTGCACGTCCTCGGCACGGCACAGCCATAAACCTAACCCGCAGCCAATTGGCCGGCTCGCTCCAACACCACAAACGTTCGGTTTTGCCCCCCGTGTCACGAAGCTAAAATGCTTTGCTCATTTTTGTAATCGAATTTTGCTTACAACTTCCAAAATAATGTGAATTTCCAAAAAAATGTTTTTTCTTCATGCTCCAACAATCTTTGTGGTATACATTACGATGCAAATATGCTAACTGGTTAGAAAATTGTTGGAGGGCCCCTTTAAGCTCGTACACTAGTTTTAGAAGAAGTTGGCTTTCTTCTTCCATACATTTGCAAGGTATTAAAACTTAAAAAGCATTAAAGAAAAAACAAATCAAGCAACCTGCATGTCCTACCTCCATTGATTACACAACTGTATGCCGTATGTAATATACAGTCTTTTCTGTCACAATATACAGGGTGAGGGTGTTTTTCTTAGGCTTTACAGATTTGTTTAAAGGGACACCCCGTCGACGAGCGTGAAGATTGTGCCCGCTGTCTTCGATGTCGCGCGAGAAGTTACAGGAGGAAAGAAACGTCAAAACGCAAGCGCTATAGTCTCCGAGTAGGGCTGCCGGGCCGTCTCAAAACAGAAGCGACGCGGGTGCGAGCGCCCTGGTGAGCGAAATCGTGTACAACAGTTTTGAGTATGCCGTCGCGCTTCGGCTTGCCAAATGCAACCAAACCCCGAGGCTGAGAGGCTCCGGGTCCGGTGCTGAGCACCTCGGTTATATTCCGCTCACTTCCAACGCAATAAAAGCCCGGGTACCTTTTCGCAAAAAAACTGCGGGCGACTGCACGGAACCACCTTCTGCCGCGAGGCTGCCGCCGTCATGTTCCCAGCTGTTCGCTCACTCCCGCGGCGAGCGCCTTTCAATCATCATCTCCGTTCCGAAATGCGATGCGACCTCAGTTTACGTGGGCCGAATGAATGCGCATTCGCCATTTCGATCCGCCTCAGTCTAGCGACTTGAATGCGATGTGCTTTCCTAACACATTAATGCTGTTTATGCGACCGCACTGAATGCGGCTCTAGATGTCTCTCAGCAATGCGGTGGGTGGCTCAGTCGACAACAGAACTGGAAAAGCACGATCAGGACGTGACGAGTCGCATAAACCCTAGACTGCTCCCGTTGGCGGTGGCCCGGCACATTCGCCAGGGTCGTACCGCACGCCAACGAGACTCCCGCTCAAGCGACAGCTCGTCCCAACTCCAAATGACAACCGGCAAGTACAAATGTCGGGTATCGGTATCTTTCTGTCGCCGACTAAGCTAGCTGGTGCAGTCCATAGCGATGCAAAGGAACCTGAGCGAGCGGCGAAACACACCTCTGTATATAAAAAAGAAATTCAATGTGTGCCTGAAATCTCATAATGCTGAGGATTGTTACATTGTTGTTGTTTTTTTCCGCAATTCTGTTCACAATTTTTTTTTTTTTTGCTTCTAGTTTGACAGACAGTTAGGGCGCCTTTTTTTTATTTTCATCTTCTGTCGAATGTGGATCCAGAGCCTCCAATTGTTCCTTCTCACTGCTAGCGGTAATCATTCCTTTCAGATGGCTAAGGCAGTCGACGTACGTCACTATGCGAAGCATGGACGTCGCACGAAGGCAACTTTCCTAGGGGGTAAAATTAAATTTGTCTCGGCGAAAATTTAGAGGAAAGAGGTTGCCCCAAATATAGCGGAGAAATCGGTGTATAGTTACGCACCAATTCGGGTTTTCCCCCTAAATATGGTAGAGAACTGAAGTGTTCCACTCTTTCAAAACAGTCTTTTTTTTACTAAGTTTTTGCTTAGGGCAAATTGCGTAAAAATGTTGGTTTTCACCGAGATGCAATCATGTCAATTTGAGCACGACGTAGGTCCCGCGAAACCACCCTACACACCCCGAGCCCCCGCAGCTCCAAAGCACGCCGGCACAGGTCGGAACCATCCCGTTGCCCCCGACCCCGGCAGCCGAAGACTGGACTCACAGTGACTTGACCTCGTAGTCGAAGACGGCGCAGTTCAGGATGTCCTGAGCCTCCGCGTTGGAGATGGGCTCCCCTGCCACGCTCCGCAGCTTCAGCAGCAGCGTCTGCACGTTCCACACCGGGAAGTCCATCGGGATGCCTGCGACGGGACGCCAGAAAGGTTGGTTCCCAGACGAGAACGTTCGCCACGCGCCGCAAACTCTAAAGACCTCGGGTTCAAACCTCGCCCCTACAGACTCGTACCGGTCGGCATTTGAGCGATGCGCGTTAGGGCCGTCGGGTTGGCAAGATGGGCTACAGATTTAGACGTCTTAACCCCTTGCCGACTAATAACGAGCGATACTCGCGTTTCAATTTCGGCGCTTGTTTAGCGCGCTCTCCGGCACGTGACGGAACCGTCCCTGCTGCTCTTTTTTTTTTTTTTATCTCTGGTTGTTAACTTATTTGTTTTGTTGTTTGACAGAGAGAGAATGCTGCATTTAGCCTAGAAAAAGAAAGCCGTCGCTAGTAAACATTCGCGCTAAAACAATGTGGCTTTGGCACGGGGGTTCGGTTAGCGAAGAAGAGATAGGAAACCTTTTTGAAAGTGATTAACGCCGGGCATGCGACGATGAATCCTTCGGCCTCTCCAATTTTTCGGAGTCTGACGAGAGTTTGATCGGCTGTGACAGGAGCGATGAAAGCTATGCGAATCCTGAGAGCCTTCCGTCAACTTCGGCGTCTGCACATCGGTGGAACTCGGACCAAAGTCCCAATTTAGAGGTAGATATCAAACCTGAAAGTCGAGGAAATGTTTGTCTTATTTTACCGCCAATTACCCATTTAAAATCAAATTGTGCTGTACATTCCTCAAAAAAAAAAAAAAAAAAGAGTAGGCAAGGGTGCTTTTTACTTTTCACGAGTGGAAAAAATTTATTTATTAAGTGATTAAGTAATTAACTTATTGATGGATATTAGATTGCATATTAATGCACATTAATTGGCTGCTATCTACGCCCCATAACAAAAGTTTTAGTTCCGACTGTATGCAGCATAAAGTGCTGTGGGCACCTTACGTACGAGCAGTCCGCTGTTAGAGCCATCTAGTGCTCTCTACCTAAAACATAATGAAATGCAGTGGAAATTACACCCAATTAGAGTATTTTATAAGGTTAACTGGTTACAAACTGCTAAAAGGAATTAAGCGATCACTTTGACAGCAGTCATTCCTTCTCTGATCACTGCACTAAATGAATTGAGCCTAGAGAACGAGCAGCATTCGCTGCTCGTTCTCTACGCTAAATCTTTGACTGGCGTCCTTGCATTCCAACCCGACAAAGACGCACTTCGGGATACTTGCTCTCCCGCATAAGTCTGCAGAGAACAAGCTTCGAAACGCTACCGCGGTATACAACCACAAGATCTGCGTCGACATTGGGTCATATTTTCAGCGCTTTTGGCAACAGCAGGGGGAGGGAGTGTTAGAGTTACAACAGGGGTTCTCAAGCTTTTTAAAACAATGGAAGCACATAATGTGTCCTGGCTACCAGAACCTCTGACGGCAGCACCTCCCACAACACATTCTGACTTTCCCCGAGTGGAACACTCCAGGCAACGACGGCCGGACCCGAGACACACTGCTCTCCCTGTGGAGGTTTGCGTGTGCCGCAGTCATCAACCGTCGTATGTGATCTCCCCCTCCCCCTCCCCTCGAAACTGCTCCCCCCTTTAGGCCTAAGAGCCAGCCCTTTCTAAATATATAATTTTCATTCATTCAATTTCAAAGAATGATTACTATTCTCGGTCAGGAGCCTCTAAACCCCAACTCGCAATTTTTCCAGTAATGCAAAGCCTAAAACTACAAAAACAAAAAATGTGTAAAAAAAAAAAAAAAATTGGCATTGCGACAGACATTGAATGTGCAAATATATGGGAAAAAACGAGAGAAAACTGCATCAAAATGTGGGATCTCTCCACAGTATTTACTGCACATTGTCATAACCGGCACTGCTACAGTTTAAGCTCATTACAACAGACCTGGTTACAACAGACATTTGGATATGCATACCGATTTGTGAAGTTCACTTAGTTTTCCTCTACATATCATTGACTCAACTTTATATCTGCATACAACATACTCCTCTTACAACAGCCGAAATCTTGGTCAAAATCAAAGTCTGCTATAACCAGCTTAGACTGTACTTGTGGTTCCCTGCCTCGTGTCTGTGTAACTATGATAAAATTCCTTCGTGTTCTCATATACAGGGTGTTTACCGAAAGGTGAACAGATTCAATATTGCGAAAACTATGCATCGCACCAAAGAAAGGCTTGTGTCTCTCTGGTCTTATGCCAGAGGCCTACAAAATACACAGAAAGAATAAAATACGTAAAGGACAAACACAGACACACACAGTTCTTTTAGAAGAACTGCATGTGTCTGTTCGTCCTTTACAAGTTTTATTCTTTGTGTATTCTGTAGTTTTTCAATGCGCTCTGCTACGTGTACTCCAGGGGCCTATTTAGGAAAATTATTAAAGTCCGTAATAATTAAATTGTGAATTGTTTTCGCGTAATTCATTTTCTTAAATATTGAGTTTAAGGGCAGATTTATAAACCATTGACTCAACTTCATATCTGCGTACAACATACTCCTTTTACAACAGACCAAAATCTTGGTGAAAATCAAGGTCTGTTATAACGAGCTTAGACTGTATATCCAAACGTCTCTTGTAACCAAGTCTGTTGTAATGAGCTTAGACTGTACATGAGAACAAGGTTGGGCAGCATTTCAAATACAAGTATTTAAAATATGTATTTCAAATACTTTGTGTATTTTGCATTTGTATTTAATTACAAATTGGGTTAAAACGTGGGTATTTCAAATACAATTGTAATTAAATACAATTTTGTGGGCGAAAATACATCCCTCAAATTTATTGTCACTGTCCAGAAAAGCAAGAAAACTATGTTCTGCACCGAATGCAGTGCCTCTCAATCACGCACAAGCGTTTAGTGACTTTGTGATTACGGTGCTACTCCAGGGCAAGAATAGTGATGAAATCGATGTTCACAGGCAGACTGGCTAAATAAGTGCCTGTGACAACTTGTGATGCTTTCCAGCCTGATTTCCATCCATATTTTTGCCTGGAACATTCTAAATGTGCGGGTCGTCCAGATTTTCGTGACTGGCGCGAGTTGCAACAATAAAAAAATTAGCTAGTGCTGCGCGTCTTGGTCGTCTCGGTTCTTTGTTGGTCCAAAACCAAAATGTAATCGACAAAAAGAGCCGCTTGAAGCTCTGTACTTTTTTCACCTTTACGTTCAAGCTGATTACATTTTTTTGTGATTATATTTCTACTACGTTACTAGAGCCTCGCACACTAACTCCCGAGTGTGCGGTGCAAAATTAAAATGAGATACCCAGAAACCCGTTGCAGGTGCCCTGAAGTCGCTGACGCAAATCTTGAGGAATGTATTTGGAAAAGTATTTGGAGGAGACCAAATACATTTGGTTATATTTGTATCTTGTACTTAAATGCTCTTTTTGGAAATGTAATTGGATTTGTAATTAAATACATTTTTGACGAAGTATTTTGTATTTGTATTTCGATACATAATTGCATGTATCTTGCCCATCCCTGCATGAGAATCGCGAGTGTTCCGTAGTCACACGATCACAAAAGGTTGCAAGCTGTCGCAAGTGTGCGGACAAACCTTTAGGCACATAGTTTTGCGTCAATGGATGGATCAGATCTCGTAAAAATGCCATTTAAACCCCAAGAATACTCTACTCGGGGACTGGAACGACCTAGGAAATTTGGGTGTTCAAGGAAACCCTCAGGGGCCCTCTAGCACCTGGTTGGAAAACCCGTGACTCACAAGACTGCTCTTCCAGCCAGCGGAGGCACCCTTCAGCCTGGGCCATGTGATCCGGGGTGCAGAAGAAGGGCGGCAGGCTCTGGTCGTCGGGCGACAGGCGCAGGAAAGACAGCATCTCTTTCACTATCCCCTGGTAGTCCCGACTGCCCTCCTTGAAGCCCGTGATGGGGATGCCGTGGGTGTCGTCACCTGCCGTGGCACAAGCCGGGAGTCGGTCTCCAAAAACAGACGGCAAACGGAGCCCGAGAAGGCAGGAATGCCGTTGCGACGCGCTAGTACAGACTCGCAGCCGTCATTTTGCTGCGGGAGCCACAGAAGCCGAGGAGGGCACAAAGGAAAACTGTTGAGAGTTCAAGCGCAACCCATCCGACATTGACACTGCCTGGCGCCGAAATGGCAACAATCTTCCAAAACCGATAAAAGATTGAAATACTCGCTTTTCAGACACGAAAGTAGCTCACTCAAAACCCTGTAGCTCAGAAGACCTAGATGAGGAGATTACGACAAAATAATAATGCACTATGCGAATAGCCCATCGCAACTTTGCATTTAATTACGTTCTGTTCAGTCCTTTTTATGATTACGAGATTTACTTCACAAAAAAGTAGTGTTTGTAAGCACTCTACACACCATGCACGAGGGCACTGGAGCACAAATGGCACTCATGGCACAGGATGCGACACTCGTGCAAGTCACTCTAGCTCCCCCCCATCAGTCCTTAGATCAGAATCATGCTCAGTAATGAGGGCATTCGAGAGCAAGTTATATTCATATTGATGGAGGATGCATTGGATCGCTTCGAACACTATATGAACTATTCATAATTATCTATGCGGTACATGAAGAGGCAATTGGTGTTCTGTCCCAGAAAACGTGCACAAACATTGCGTGGCAGGAGCCTTTCCTTCAGCCTCCATTTAACGTCCACATTGAAACCCAGTCCCTACGGTATCACCGCGAATGAATCTAATTAGTAGGTAACTGAGGCCCACTCGTTAATCACCTCCCCATACCCCCGCTCCAGTATGAACCAAACATGACAAGCAAACACCTAGGCCTCAATAAGCACAGTAGTCTAGTTAGCTGGTAAACAAACTTCGCAAGTACTGTTCTCATTTCAATCGCGCCTCTGCTCACCAGAAACAAGGTGCCGAGCCATGATCCTTTACACAAGACCAATTTCTCGTACCATGAACAATGGACGGCGTTCTCGGCAAGTAAGGCCTCAAAGCAAGATGGTGATCTTTGCGACCCTAAATTCGCATCCCGAAGCCAAAATAAAGCAAAGACGTCGCTGCTTACGTAAGCCACCCCTTGCAATGTATGGCGGCAAAGGCCGACAAAATCCACTTTCGTGAGAAAAGGGTAAATGTGTACAACCGCCGATTTTCTGCGGGCTCTGGTAATGTCTGGTAGGTATGCAGGACGTGCGACATTAGTTTGAACACAGTCCCAGATGTTTCTTTCCCAAACACTCAAAAGGCTATTAACAAGCATATTGGCTTAGTCGAACATTTGCTCGTCCGGCGTCATCCTGGATGGCAAAGTTCCGTGCTCGTGCTAATCTGCACAAGTGAAATGCCCCAGGGTAAATTCAGAACGTGCAAAAATAGTCTGCAGCTTTTTTTTCAGAAAAGAGTATTCGCTGTGTGTAACTCTCATACTATACGGTTTTGTTAAAAGCAGATTGGTCATTTTATTACAACAAATAACTATGCGTGGTTCGCACTTAAAACATGTAACGGCAAAGTCGTTGGGCATCGGCGTCGTGTTCTCGCACAGTGGGGTGTGCGAACAAAAGCTTTTGGAACAACAGACATCTGACCAATTTGTTCCAAACGTCTGTTCCTGTTTTGGATCAGTAGCACATGTAAGCATGTCTCTCGGCACGAGCTCTTGACGTTGACGGTGCTACAAAGGCACTTTGTCATCGGCTATTTCTTTATGTTTTTATGGTACAGTGCAGTGGGCATCGGCTATTACAAAAACCCTGATCATTAAGAGGGTTGTTAACCCCGTGGCATAGTTCAGTAGTTATGCCTCCACTCGCACGCAGCAGACCCAGGCTCAATATCCGCAAGCGGCGAGCAATCTTTTTCGAAGGTTTGGCAACCTCGACGATGGACGCCCTACATCGTCAACTACAACATCATGAACAGACGTCATTTCGAGTGGTGGGAAGAGCCCATATATAACAGCTGTCGCTGTAAAAACTTGTGTGGAATCATTCTCTGATTAAGGTTTCAAGTTCCGTATTTGGTGCGATTTTCAGTTGGTTTTTTATGCGTGTGGTCTAGCCTTTTACATGTGACACATGCTGTACGTCTATACTCTTCAGGGAGCAAGCACAAAGCAAGTTTTTGATGCACTTTACATCACACGGTCAATGATTCACGACACTGAAGGTCTCCCATCATAAAAACAAAGTGCAGTGTGCTTCTTAGCAATCATGAGTGCGACAGGGAAAGAATTACCAATGCGCACAATACGAGGGAGAAAAAAGGGTACGCACTGTGGTCCTTGGCGAGGCTGGCAAAGCCCAGGGGAATAGGACCTGAAAGCACAAACACAAAATTCCTATTGCTCACTAGCCCTACAATGTAAGTAACATATTCATCCTATTATTTCTCTCCACGGTGGTGCTTAAAACAATGTGTGTTTGTCAATTAAACTTCACCTCATCGGCCAAAACGCCAAAAGGAAGCTGTCATCACAGGTTGAATGGAACTGCAGCACACTTAACAATGAAATGTTCAAGGTGTGGCGTGAATAGAAAAACAAAATGTTGGCAGGTGACTCATTCACTGAAAAGGTGAGAATGGCACGGAGGAGCTTCAGTTGTCCCACATCCAGAGTGAATTCTCTACCTTCGACAAGGCTTCGACATCCCATGCGCCTCGAGCACGCGGAGACGCGCATCCAAGTTCTAGTGGAAGGCGTGGAACGTGCACGGATGGCCCGGCATTCAATGGACTCTCCGCTTTTCTGACTCTGTCGGCGACAATAAATTTCCAAAGAATAAAGATGCAACGAGGCTAATATTTAATATCTTTTATTATTAATTAATTAACAATCAGACAAAGTCTTCGATCATGAGAAGAAGACCGATCCAAGAACAATCCTACACAATGGGAATTAACAGCAACTTCTCCATTTCTGGGAAGAAACAAAAAAGAAACAAGTTGAACCCGGTCTTCTCTATGAAGACACAGGTGCAAACGGCAGGTAAGGTTCAAGCTTAAAACGTGGGCTGGAGCGAAAGAACGACAAGAGCAAAAGTCCTTCCTTTCGTCCTTTGCGCCCCAGCCCCAATTCGGCCGCAAAGGAAGAGCTGTACACGTCATAGAAACAGTGCGTGGAATATTAAAAAAACAATTTTTTTCAAACTTTAGAATGATGGATTCTGCAAACGTCAGATTGGTAAAATGGGCTCCATCTACAGTCTGACCTAGTTATAACAGACCTTGATTTTGACCAAGATTTTGGTCTGTTGTAAAAAAAGTATGTTGTATGCAGATATGAAGTTGAGCCAATGGTATGTGGAAAAAAATTAACTGAACTTCACAAATTTGTAATTTTATATCCAAATATCTGTAGTAATGAGCTTAGACTGTACTCGAAGCAGCTTCCTAACACATACCACTCTTGTTGCGACAATAATGGGTCTGGGCCAGGGTTCTCCCTACGGTGGGCAGCAGTGGCATTGCCGCCCACTGCTCCGACTGACCGCCCACCACTCGATTCTGCAACAGGATGACGATGCAATTTCGCCTATGCACATGGCTCTAGACCGTCGTACTCGGCAGGCCTGCACACCGCCACCTTATTATGTGTTATCACATCACCGACTGCCTCCACTCTTTCAAACAAGGAGAGCGGAGCCGCAGAGCGCTGCCGGCAGTGCGGGGAGAGTGAGGGGGGTGCTTGGCTGAGAAACGTAAAATAAAAAGACGTAAAGAACGCGCAGCAGTTTTCTTCGCAGGCGGTGAGTGGCAGAGAGCAGAGAGGCGAGAGGACTTTTCTTTCACTGCTTAATTATTGCTCGTGCCGTGGCTTGTCTCATCTTCACCTCTTTGCTTGCTTCCCGACTTTCCGTCGACATTTTTTTTTCCCATGGCATCTTGCATTTTGCTTTATCACCACGGTAAGGCCTCCTCTCTACTCACAAAGCCCGGCAGTTCGACGACGGAGTCATAGAGTGCCCAATCGCAAATTTGGAGCGCGAGGATCTGTTAGCACAGAGCATCAGAGAGCCATTTCCCGGGGATCCTGGACGTCAGCCCACAGCTTTTGCAGCAGTGAGGACCCAAAACACACTTGTTTGCTCGGGAGAAGTGTGTTTCGGCATCTAGCAGCGGCGGGGCGCCAGTCACGTGGCTTTCCTCTCATCCGTTGCCTGCCGCCCCGCCTTTTCCATTTCGCCGGCCACTTCTCGTGGCGATCTGCCAGGCTTTGTCAGTGTATAGGAAGCTGTGGCACCACTCACAGGGCCACAAAGTTAGAAAGCCTACGCAAAATGCGTTCTGTCAGCGAACAGATAATGCCGCATTGAAAACTACTACCCCTCACCGCCACCACCACGCATGGTGGTTATATCCGCCCCTAGAAAATTCCTGGAGAGAACCCTGGTCTGGGAGTAACTAGAAATTTGTCTAACGGATCTTCTAATCCTTTTGCTGGTATGGAAAACCCCAAACACTTTCGTAAACTGATTTAGTCTGGTCAGATACGAGTCAAAAACGCGACAGAATCCCTGCCTCCACACAAGCTCATTGCCTTTTGTCACAGCTTGGTTGGGCATGTTCACGAGAAACCTCAAAGCGTTACTGAAGGTAGAAAGCTAGCGCTGGAGGAGCAGCCCCTGGCAAGTTCTTACAGAGGGACGTGGGTTTTTTGTGCCAAATATTTTCTAAATATTCTTCTCTTTTTTTCTAAATAGGGGTTTTCAAACTACAGCCATTTTGGCAAGTTTCTAAATTTGTGAATCAATATTAGTGCTATAATATCAATTTATAATATCCATGCAGGCTGAATTGGCATCGAAAGTTATGCCAAAAAAGCCTTCTTCTCAAAGCACAAATTTTGGTCTCCTTGCAGATTTGCAGGAAGGACAACTCAACAACTAAACCAATTTTTTTTTTTTTTTTTGCAATATGTTGCTAATTATGTGAGGCATAATATATTGAGAGCAGAGTTCTTACTATAAGCCTATGAAATTTTTCATCTGAGCTATTGCACGGATGGAACCCATGAAATGTACTTGGGAGCAGCCATGGAAGCAGCTGAAACAGCTGTTTTAGAGCAGCTAAAACTACATTCTGGAGCAGGCTAGGAGCAGCCCAGATAAGTTTTCATTGCCCTTCAGCTTGTGTCTTAGACAAGCACGGGAGGTATTTCAATTGCGCTTCGCAGCACAGATGAACATGAGTAATTAGGGAACCAGGCAAATAGGATAACGGTGTAACAGATGCGAAAAATTAGAGCTTTGTGAGCCTTAATGAGAACCAAAAAGCAAGTACCATATGTTTCTGAAGATAGTGTCCTTGATATTTTCCGAGTGACTTTTAGCTGTTCAAAATGCAAACCAGCACTGCTTATCGCACAACCCACACATGCTCGACATAGTAATTATGTGCAAACCACGTGACATGCGTAAGCAACGGACATGCAGTTACGCGGAGGAATAGGGCAACAAATTTTGAGTTTACCTTATTGTGCAACTCAATATCGAAGCAGCAGACTACGATTAACGGAGTTATCGTATCCAGAGTGATAAGCAGAAGGAAGGTTGAAGTACGCCGTGCAGACCTAGCGTTCGCGTGAGAGCTGCTGGCCGGCAAGGTTTCAGATCGGACCGCGTTTCAGTTCTATCAAATCACGATTTATCTTGCGGGAATGCAGTTCCAACTTCTAACGATAAAGTACTTAAAGGAATCTTCTGCTCATTTGTTTCCAACTGGCTGATGTCCGGATCCCGGGCCGCAGAGCCTCGGGCAATCCGACGCTTAACGACTCGACCTCACCTCGGCCAACTTGCTTAAACGCTTATGGTTGAAGAATAACAATTCAGTCGCAGGTGGTGTAGCGCTTAGAATCCGACACCAGAGTTTTTTTTCACGAGCTTCCCACTCGGGATACACAGGGAGAATAAACAGAACAAAGCATTGCAATGCCGACCAAGCCAAACGCACTCAATGTTGCCAATCAAGTCGATATAAACCGAAACCAAGACAAAATAAATTTTTGCCGCACGTTTTGCGATTTGGTGCATAACGGTATTGGCTATGGCGCAGTTTCCGCAACATGGCGCAGAAAACTGCGTTTGGCGTAAAATGGCGCAGCCGTTCCACCTCTGTATTGTTTTATTATTTAGTTACCACACATTGAACACTGACCTTCAATGTGTTGTAAAATTACGAATAGTGGTTCAATCTCAGAATTACTTTCATCATTGTATTCTTTGTACTTTGTAGTACTATCTAGCCATGCATTGCACACAATTTTTTGCTCAATATATGTTTTCCTATTATTCCTGAAAACAAAGGCGAGTTTTAATTATCTTCAGGACTGCACAGCTAGCTGAAAAACTGACCAGGTATTTGCGATCAGCAAGTAAAACTGAACAAGCTTGTGCACTTTTATCGAGTTCCATCGACTAATAAGAATGAAAGCCTCAAGACCAGTGTTCCCCTTAACTTGTACCCGACTACAGTACCAATATTTTAGAGCGCAGCTCTTAGGGGCCCGTTTCCGGCTTGAGCGGCGTCGCCGTCGCCGTCGGCGTCGCCGTCGGCGTAACCGCGCGGTGCATCATGGGAAATGTCCCATAATGCACCGCGCGAGCCTCCCCACTGGGGTCACGTGACCTCGTGGGGGGTCACGTGACCCCCCCCGAGGTCACGTGACTCCCCTGAGGTCACGTGAACCCCTCCTCAAGGTCACGTGACCCCTTCCTCGAGGTCACGTGACCCCCCGATGACGTCATCGTCACTGATGACGTCACCGGCATCCACATCGTCATCGTCACTGATGACGTCACCAGCATCCACATCGTCATCGTCATCATCACTGATGACGTCACCGGCATCCACATCGTCATCGTCATCATCACTGATGACGTCACCGGCATCCGCATCGTCATCGTCATCATTACTGATGACGTCACCGGCATCCACATCGTCATCGTCATCATCACTGATGACGTCACCGGCATCCCCATCGTCATCGTCATCATCACTGATGACGTCACCGGCATCCACATCGTCATCGTCATCATCACTGATGACGTCACCGGCATCCACATCGTCATCGTCATCATCACTGATGACGTCACCGGCATCCGCATCGTCATCGTCATCATCACTGATGACGTCACCGGCATCCCCATCGTCATCGTCATCATCACTGATGTCACCGGCATCCACATCGTCATCGTCATCATCACTGACGACGTCACCGGCATCCGCATCGTCATCGTCATCATCACTGATGACGTCATCAGTGACGTCACTGATGTCGTCACCGGCATCCGCATCGTCATCGTCATCATCACTGATGACGTCATCAGCGACGTCACTGATGACGTCACCGACATTCGCATCGTCATCGTCATCATCACGGGTGAAGCCATCAGTGACGTCACTAATGACGTCATCGGTACCCGCATCGTCATCGTCACGGATGACGTCATCAGTGACGTCAGTGATGACATCATCGGCATTGGGGGTCACGTGACCCCCAAGGTCACGTGACCCCCCCCCTGGTTAGTTTACCCCCCCCCCCCCCCCCCCGTGCCCTTCCCTCCTCCTCCTCAAGAGCTGCGCTCTAATTCGGCGTTACAGGGAGTTGTAAGCGGCTTTCATTTTTTTAAGGGTGCGTGCAGTGCAGCATTTTCCATCTGAAGAGGGAGTCAATCACTACTAATTGGAACCCTCACTAGAACATATATTAAACGAATGCAAAAAGCAAAGGGTTGTAGGGTAGCTCTATGATACAGATATTCAGCAATGGAACTTGGGTTATTTCCTCGAGCACTCCGCAAAAACGATGGCAGCATGCCTGGCAGAAGAAGTCGGTTTCGAAAAGCACAATGCAGAGGCAGAAACATGCGAACCATCATTTTTACCGATGTGCATCTAATGCCTTAGTTCGGACAATTAGTGCAGACATGGCAGGAGAAAAGTTTTGGTATTAGAAAGCCTCATCATGTATATATAGGCGGTAAATATGCAGAATACCTATACTGATGTGCAACTAATGCATCAATTTAGGTTGTCAGTTTCAAATTAATTGATGCGCTTGAAATGCAGTGCCACTATTGCGGCGACACCAAACTACCATATGTACGGGAGTTTACTGTGGTTCACCAGCGAGCTGGGACGGTCAAACGAAAGGGTGGCATACCAGAGTCTATAAACTGGTGGAAGGTGTTCGTGCAGCCCTGTTCGATGGAGTACTCGACGAGTCCAAGTTCGAGAGGAAAGTAAACTCCGTTTGCCTCGCAGAGGATGTTGAACGAGATGAGGTAGAAGTTGGACCGCTTGATGTCTAGGGAAAGAAAAAAACTCGAATAAGCATAACCGGACAGAACTAGCTGCAAGTCATCCCACAAAAACACTAGCAAACAAACTTTGGGGAGCTTCCAAAAGCCTGCAATGTTTAGGACCAACACAGCTGAACAATGCAAAAACATACAATCAAGCAGAGACGTAAAAATTACTCAAAAGTTTTCACAAACAGCCTAGGAAACCCTAGAACCGAAGAAAACCACTCCCCATCAATTGAAACGGCTATCCCTGACCGCTCAAACGGCAACGTGTTAAAGGCCGACTTACAGAATCGTAATCTGCCGAGCAGAAAATCAGTTCTCAGTTTCCTTCTCTCCGTTTACTCTCTCACTCTTCTCTGCTCTTCCCACCAGAACGGGTCTCTGAGCAGAAAGGAGGAGGGCCTTTCTCTTGCTCGGGCGGAAAGGAGGAATTGAAAAAGAGTTTCCTCCTTCCTGGTTACTCGTTGGCCTTTAACCGCAACTGGTGCTTTGAAGTCTGGGCAGATTTTGCACAAACGCATAAAAACGTCAGCATGGCAAACGTTGGTCACTGTATGTCCCCACTGTTCGTGCCACTTTAGAAGAGTGTCGACAGGTTACAGACAAAGCAAACATCACACACTAAACGTCTTTAAGAGTGCGGGTTAGCAACCAAACTCCATTGGCCAAGGTGCCTGCCTACGGCAAACCCTAAGATTCCAACAATTTAGGACAAACCAATGCCCCCTCAAAGAACACCAATATTTGATGTCACTTTGAATCCTTTGAAAGCACATTGAGAAGAAATTTCCTGTTCGAGCAGAGAAATAACAAATGAAAAAATACCACATAAAAGGAAGGTTCCCAAGAAATCGCACAAAATCTGCTCACCGTTCAGGGAGCCCCGCTCTTCCACGTAACTGTGGACTTGGTTCACCAGGTCCTCCACCATCTGCTTTCGATCCTGCTCTTCCTTTAAAACCAGCTGAAATGCACAAGTCAGACTTAGTGTCGCAGAGATGGAAGATGGCGAGGACACGGGGGAGCAACACCGTCATCCAACACAAGCAGCTGGGCATCATTAGCTTTTTGTCCTCAATGGGGCAGTCAGACTCCAGCAATTTTTCTGCACGCTTCATTTCTTTTTGCAATTATTACGCACACAGGGACGCGATTGGTCCGAGTCATTTTGGAGCAGCTTTTGGAGCAGCAAAAAGTACTCTTAGAGCATATGCACACACTTCATTTTCATTCATACCAGTGAAAATATCATGTTAAGAGTTATGTATTTATGTCTACTTTGCCTTCTTCCTTCTGTGCAACCTTTAGATGGCATCACCAGCATGGCAGGTTCAAATCTCTGGCTAGCAGTTTAACTGTGCATAGAAGCACAAGGCACAGTAACAAGAAGCTGACTGATGAAGGGCAGTACAAACTGCTGTGCATGGTTATTTTAGAACTGAAATCAAACGTAAACCAAATAGCACCCAAATTGATGTCTTCTTTAAGTTCTAAAGGTTTTTTCATTTCATTTCATTTACTGGTACCCTCAGGGCTTGAAGGCATTACAGGGGGGGTGGGATTATTACGTACAACTTATTAGAACAATCAAATCACGAATCAAGTTCTAGTAGTATGGATACAGCATTTTTAAGATTAACAAGATTAACAATTGTGGCGAAGGGTGTGGAAAGGTGATTCCAGTCAGCAGACGTAGGAGGTATGAATGATCTGTAGTAGATATTAGTGTAGAACTGTAGAATTTCGACTTTATGTATGTGATCATTGGGTTGTGACAAAATATTTTCTGAAATAAACTCAATCGATGAAACTTTCGGCGTAAAGAAAGAGTTGGCAAGGATAGGCATTTTTTCATAGAGGTTACGCTTGATGTACGATGGTAATTAGAAAGAATGAAACGCACAGATCTATTCTGGACAGCTTCCAAGGCGCCGACGAGGCTCTCAGTGTTAGGATTCCAAACAGCAGAAGCATACTCAAGTTTTGGCCGGACTAGTGTTTTATAAAAAAAAAGAGTTTCAAAGTCGAAGGAGTCTAGAAAAAATTATGTTTTAGATAGCCAAGCATGCAGTTGGCATTGGAAATGACGTAGTGAACATGAGAGGTTAGATGTGATGTGAACGCCCAGATATTTGTAAGTGTCAACCCGCTCTAAAGTCATATTATTAAGGATATAGGAAGGAGGATCATTAACTCACCGGGAAATTATCATGTGTTTACATTAATAACATTTAATGACATGTGCCAAGTGTCACACCAACTTGATATGGGATCGAGATCATTTTGAAGAAGTAAGATATTAGAGCTGTTAACAATTTCGCCGTGTACAACACAATCATCTGCAAATAAATAAATAGAAGAGTTGACATTCAACGGTAAGTCATTAAAGTAAATAAGAAAAAGAAGAGGGTTTAAGCACAGATCCCTAGTTACTCCAAACGTTACTGAAACTTTGGACGAGTCGGTAATATTACAATTTACAAACTGAACGATTAGTCAGAAATGAGCGAATCCACAAAAGTACATGATGTTCAATGTAAAGTTTTTGAAGCTTAAGAAGAAGTTTATGAGAGGCCCTGTCAAACGCCTTGGAGAAGTCCAGAAAAACACTGTCAATTCATGAACCGCTATCTAGAACCTGATGGAAATCATTTGTTAGCCTTACAAATTGTGTCTCGCATGAAAACGATTTTCTAAAACCGTGTTGGTTAACGTTGAAGAATGAATTAGATTCAAGAAAATTAACCAGATTAGAATAAATTATATTTCCCTTCATTTTACAGCAAATACTTGTGAGTGAAATGGGTCTAATGTTAGAAGGGGAATGTTTGTCTCCAGTCTTGTGTAGTGGAATCACCCTTCCAGTTTTCCAGTCGTCTGGAAGCTGACCTAGTGAAAGAGATTGCTCAAATAGTTTAGACAAAATGATTGATGTATATTCTTTCTGATGAAAATAATCCCTGGAGAAGGGGAAGTTCCCCTTCTCCAGGGATTATTTTCATCATTATTGTCCAGCTCGCTTGCCCCTTTGCATTTAATTGCATTATAAGTATATTCTTTCGTATTCTTTATAAACTTTGAATTAATATTGTGAACACCAGACGACGATGATTGTTCAGTTGACTCTATAATTTTTAAAATGCCATTGACATCAATGACAATTGGATTCATGGGAAAAAAGTCATATGAAGGATATGATGGACAAAAATGGATCAGTAACATTATTAAATACACTAGAAAACATGTTATTGAGAATAGTCGAACACAATGAATCGTGAATCATTTCACCGGACTCTGAAAAGGAATGCTCAACACTGGGATTCATTACACTCCAAAATTGTTTAGGATTATTGATTAACATAGATGGGAGGCACTCATTAAAAAGTAATATTTAGTCTCCCCGACTTCTTTCTTGTATTCATTGGCTGCGAGATTATAACCAAATACCATATAGCTTCGCCAATACTGGAAACTCCTCTGAAAACCTATGGGAGCGGCAGCGAACGTGACAGTGGCGCCTCTAGCAGACTCTGAGCCTAAGGAAGCAGACAACGCAATGGAAAAGTATAGGCTCCACGACGTCTTCAAGCTTTGCGAGCCCCGTTTTGTCACTCCAAAAACAGAAACAATTCATTACAATCAGTCCGCTTGCAAAGCGGAATCCACTGATCGCAACTACAATGACAGTCAAATAACAATGCGCGCAGAAACAAAGATAGAGCAGTTTATTTAGAGGTCTCAAACGCCACTCAGGGGGATCACACGCTTTTGAAGCGCATCTGGGAAGCGGAAAAATTGTGTTTAGCTACTCAAACTACATCATAAGAGGTTACTGTTTATCCGTTACAAACTGCATTGTCGTAATTTCTTGCCTAAATAGGTGGTTTTTAAAACGTGCGCAAACAACATGTTAAAATTACCAGAGCAAGCGCGCCAGCCTCTGCAGCATAACAAAAACAAAAAAGTAACGAGAAAAATGACTTAGCAAACACAAACTTTGCAGAAACGTTGGGGTCCCCATCAAAGACAAAAATAAAAATAAATGGGGAACAGTCGCGAACAACGGCGAATGAAACAAAAAAGTTAGCAGACAATACAAAGATACAAATCACCCAGCGAAGACCTCCTTTAACGACGAGGATCGCACGGGGCGTAGGTAGGAGCATTGAAAATTAGCAGGTGGTGCTCGCTGTCGGTGTTGAGTCCACAACAAAAGCGGAAGCAACACGACGAAACTATTAAAAAAAAAGAGCTTCACTTTTTTTCTTTTTTTTTTTTAGCTGCACGTTACTTGTTTGTTTATTTTCTTTCGCGGCGCTGTAAGGAGCTAAGAAGCAAAACAGAGGAAAGGAATAACGTAGTCCAGCTTACACTGCCCAGTAAATAAAAGTCGCACGCTGCAATCTGCTTCGTGCTAGCAGTGTGTAACCTTTTTTTGCTTTCTCATTTCTTTTACCAGTGACTTTGGCAGGTTGTTTGTTTGCTCGCTTAACGAAGCAGTTCAAAAGTACATTCAAGTGTACCTTGTTGACGTACGTGTCCAGGCAATTCTTGCACACTGTGCCTTTGTTCTGAGCGTCGATCAGCAGCCTTAAGTGTATTTTCAACTGAACTCTTCCCTCGTGCAATATATCAGTGAAATGTGTGTCGAAGGCACAACGGATGTTACAGGCTACGTGACGAGCTAAGTCTTAAGGTGGTGTCATTTTCGCATGCGAGTATTTCTTGTTCTTCAACAGAATGTATTTCGAGGTGTTCCATGTTTCTGATAGCAAGCATGATGACAGATCTGACTGGCTGCCCACCTGGCTAGATAGGATAGGACTGGGTGTTCAGTAGTGCATCTGGCCTGTCGTCTGTGAAGTTCTCAGTGATCTCTGTGGAGTTGTCATAATCGTCTGTTGACACGTCAGTGTCGATTTTGAAGCCAGACTTGGATAGCTTTTGCAGTTTAATTTGAAGTAACTTAATTAATCACGTTTGTCCGGTCTTCGCGAAGCGGAAGGATTTTCCACCACATCACAAAAACTTGTTTTTGTTGTGGTAAACATCACATGGCATGCCTGCCATCTCCAAGTATGCGCTGATGTATGCTCGAAGGCGGCCGGTTGATCAGCCAATGATGGCCCATAGCAGACGTGACCGCGTATACTAAAATAAAATCCGAATAGAAATATTAAGTATCAAAAAGTGCACATAAAGATTTCGGATCAGAAACTCAATCGAAGGCAAACATAGGAGGTCATCACAGACATTAGTGAAAAAACAAAACAAAAACAATAACAAAGTTGCAGACGGCCCTCCAGATGTCCGGGCATAGAATAACAGACGAACCAGTGGTAGTAAGCGACAAAGCGAAGCAAAGGAAGTAAAAACTAAACCCAACAAGGCAAAGCAAAATATGCGAACGTCAACGTCAAGTAAACATAAGAAAAAAAAAACAAACAAAAAAGTGGAAGCCGTTTACCACTCCCTGTAACGCCGAATTGGAGCGCAGCTCTTGAGGAGCAGGAGGGGAGGGTACTGAGGGCCACGTGTTCTCGGGGGGGGGGGGGGGGGGTCACGTGACCCCCCCCGAGGGCACGTGACCTTGGTGGGGTCACGTGGGGGCCAACACGTGCCCCCTCAGAGGTCACGTGACCTCGGGAGGGGGTCACGTGACCTCGGGGTGTCACGTGACTCCCCAGGTCACGTGACCAAAATTTTTCCGCTAGATTTAGCGGGGAAATTTTTCCGCTACATTTAACGGGAAAATTTTCCGCTAGATTTAGTGGGTAAATTTTTTCCGCTAGATTTAGCGGGGAAATTTTCGGCTAGATTTAGCGGGGAAATTTTTCCGCTAGATTTAGCGGGGAAATTTTTTCCGCTAGATTTAGCGGGGAAATTTTTCCGCTAGATTTAACGGGGCAAATTTTCCGCTAGATCTAGCCGCAAATTTTTACGCTAAATTTAGCTGGGAAATTG